GTAACCATGCCTCCTCCGGTTTTCAACCCCGTCCCGCCCTCCCCACCGCGGTGCCGCGGCAGCGTGGATACACAAAGGGTGAAGGGTCCACCCTTAGGTCCGGGAAGACGAAGCTGACTGGTCGGTCGATCGGCAAAGCGTCACGATAGGTCGTAGGGTGTGGTCCGTGCCGCTTTTCTGCGCTATCGAGGCTGGTAAAAGAAGAAGGGTCGGTCGTCAGCTCGATCGATTTTCCGCTCTCTCCCTCCATCATCGGGCGAGAGGTCGAAAAAAGAGACGAACAGTACGCACGCACGCACGCACGCACGCGGTGCGTGTGGCGAAAAATGTTGCCGTGCGTGGCGGTGGCGACGGCGGCGGCCGCGGCGGCGGCGGCGGCGGTGGCGATGCCGACGGCAGCAGCAGCGGTGGCGGTGGCGGTGGCGGCGGCGGTGACGGGTGGTGGTGTGTGCGAAAAAGTTGCCGTGTCGACCCCGGCGTCAGTGGTGTGTGCGTCTCTCTGGTGTGTGCGAAGGAAACCGCCCTCGTCGTTACAATCGCCGTCCGTTCCTCCGTCTCTCCGCAAGAGATGATCTTCCTCCTTACCTCCTTACCTCCGTCGTACCTTCCCACGCCGGCGACGCCTGTGCACGACGCCGAGCGTCGAGCGCGACGAAATGAGGGCTCGGCGATGCGCGTTTCGCACCTGCGTACAAGACGCCGCGGCACGTCGATGCATCGCACGTGGACGTGCCGCCGCCGCCGCCACCGCCGCCGCCGCTGCCGCGGCGCAGCCAGGAGAGGAGAGGAGAGGAGAGAAAAGCGAGTGAGTAGACGCGACATCGAACGCGGGTCGGAGGTCGGAACGCGGACGCTCGCGCCGATCCGCGATGCGCTCTCGTTTTTTTTTTATTTTTTTCTTTTTTCTTTTTTTTTTTTTTTACTCTCTCGAGTGTCGGCAGTTCGGATCAGTAGCGCGGACGCTGCACCAAGTCTATACGCTTCGCATCGCTTTGAGATATCGGAGATCGAGAGACGGAGCCAGCTCGTACGAGGATAAAAAATGGGGTGCAAACGACGATTGCCGTTCATCATTAATATAATCGGTCCAATTCTCATCCCTCCTCCCTTCCTCGATAATAATTATTATTCAGATAAATTCTGATTTCCGGTGATACCGACCGGCGTCGCCGACAGAAATCAGATTCAGCAAGCTCGAAACCCTCGAACGCTGCAACCCTTCCGCGAGAGAGTCCGGCCCACGTGAATCACCGCGCCGACATTGCCCGTCGGACCGGCACGCTGCTCCATATCGCGCGGCGTCCTCCACATCGATTTGTTCTCATCCCCTGCCTCTCCCCACCCACCTATTTGCTTATCAATGTAGGATTGTAGATTGATTTGAGAATTCTAGCATTTCATGCAGCACAAGCGATTTCGGGGATCGATTCGCGAAACGCGGTTCTTCCACTTTCAACCGTTTCTCGAATGTTTTTTTAGAAAGCTCACTTGACTTAAAAAAGAAATTCTGGCTTTTAAAAGTCACAAAATTATGGAATTGCGGAAGCAATTAATAAATATATGATTTATTAAGGCTTCCGCAATTCCACAATTTTATGACCTTTAAGCCAGAATTTCTTTTTTAAGCCTTTTTATCATTAAAATGTCACGGTATTTCGGGATGATTGAACATTGACTGAAATCGTCAGAATCTGTTCAACCGAAGCGTCTTAAACATTTTTTGCTATATATATGCTTTTTTTCGAAAACTTCGAAATGAGCTCACATGGCGCGAGTAGGCGGGGCGAATATATTAAGCCTACTTTAATTTCAACTATCAATTTACATTTTTTTATAATAGCTCAGATATATAGGCTTGCGACGAGCCTTTTCCTTTTAGTGCAAAATCGCCGAGAGCCATTCGGAATAATACTTTTCTATCGTTTACACAAAAAAAAGACGTAAGACGTATTCGAAGAACTTAAAGGTAAAGGAACATGAATTTCTCTCTCTCTCTCTCTCTCTCTCTCTCTCGTCATTTGTATAAAAGCCATTTCGCAAACCGGTTAAACCGCGATCGACTCCGTCGCCTATACGTTATCTGTCACATCGCGCCGTTGAAAGTCTTCATTCTCTCAAACGTTCCTTTTACACCTATTATTTATTTATCGTTCGTCCACACGAAGGTGTAATGACATCGGCAACCGAGAATTGGATACTGGGCTTCGTCCCGTATCTAACGCGAACGAAGGATCGCACGAGCGAGTATCTCTTCGCGTGCATCCCCACGGCTGCACCTTTATCTCGTCCTCCCGATAACGCTTCCGGCACACCCGTTACTTCATGGCGTGCATAAAATCGCCGCGGATGACTAGGTGCACTTCTGAGTACTTAGCGTAATGAATAAGACGAACAGTCTCGGCCGGCGAACGGAGCCATTAAACGCTTCCGACGTATTTGAATGCGGCAACGTCGGAAAGCGTTTCGCCTCGCAGAAATCGAAGGAGAAAAAGAAGCGGATATCGCGCGCCGGGGGGAGAGACGCGCTTCGACCCTTCCCCCTGTAACACTGTTCACGTAATTCATCACGTAAATTGCAACCGTCTAAAAAGTATTGCATAATTGTATTTTGCGCCTACGTTAAACGAACGTAGGACAGAATCTGTCAATAATTGCAAATGCATATTTGTTTGCATGAATATTTTTTTATATTTTAATGTATTTTATCTTAATGTTTGCATTTTTATGAATATTTTATGTATTTATGTATTTTGATTTTTTAAGTTTTTCGTATTTTGCATCACGTAAAATTGTAATATAACAGGATCCTGAATTCTCGCACGAATTATAGAGCGTCTAAAATGCCATTTAATTTTTTCCTTCATTGTGTAGAAATACAGAAAGGCCGTAAGGCCGGTTATTGATAGGAGGATAATAACGGAGCACTTGTGGGTTTAACATGCTAAATGCTTATAAGAATGAGAAAAAAGGATCCTGAGTTCTTTCGACTCCGTAATTTTTTTCCATTATTCTTTTCCATTCTATTCAAAAGGGGTGGGATTGGACTCGCTTATTCTTGAGTGATAAAAATTTCAAAAGGAGAGTTAAGGTTTCTAGTGGATTCACAAAGTGCATTATCATTTATTATTAACATTCAGAAGCCTAAAGTTGTGATAGATTCGAGAGCAGCCATCAGTAACATTTTCGAGAACAAATGCCTTGTCAAGCTGGCCAAACTGTATAGAAATACAGTCGGTCGTAAGATCGATTATAATTATTGGTAGACAGGGGTAATTACGAGAACTGCGGAGTACTTGTGGGTTTAGCATGTTAAGTACTATGAGTAAGAATAAAGGATCCTGAGTTCAAATTTCGACTCCGTAATTTTTTCCGCCTTCTACAATTCAAAATTGAAAATATACGAGAAATGGCGTGTATGTACAACGCGATTTTCGAAGAAGTATTGCGAGTAAATAATCGCTTCTGGGATATATTTTTCAGATACCGGCTCATTTGCGCGGCGGACGGTAAGGACGAAAAGGGTCGGGGTTGATTTGGGCCTTAGTGGTCCTGTGGTGGCTGCATTTGAATCCTACTGGCCTGCTAAGTCCCAAGTTATCTCCGACGTGAGCGCGATGGTGCCTCTCGCCCCCCCCCCTCCCCCCGACTGAAAGAAACTACCCAGCGAATATTTCCCTAAATCTTAATGCAAAGCGTCTCCGTCTCTGTGATACAACGGTAAATCCTTTAATTATGTAACAAATATATGTTTATGTCTGTTGATTGACAATAATAACACGAGGGGCATGAGAAATGTAAGAAGAAAAATAATTTTATCAATATTCCCAATTACGTAAATGTCTCGTTTGTTCTATGTGTTTCTATATGTTTATGGAAAAAGTGCAATAATTGATGTTTACAATTGTGTGAGTGTGTGTGCGTGCATGACGTCTACAATAATTTTATATATACTTATGTTTTTCAATGTTTAAACAATAATATATATATAACAAAAAGAAAACGACAGCTGTCATTTAATTTTGAATTTATTTGTCAAAATGAGGAAATGCACACCGAGAAATTATCGTTATTCAAGCGTCCATTAAATTTTGTTATTGATTTCCGAGATCTCGATAATTTCTGAGATCTCCAGAAACTTAAGAGCTTATAAAAGTCAGATACTCAACGTATGAAATAAAGTTCGACAATATATGAGAATGTACTATAGAATATAAAAGAATAATGTGCGCGAGTTACTTTGGGTTACAATCTGTTAATGCGTACGTTCAAATGTGCATCTGTCATACGTCGATCACCTGCAGCAATTAGGGGAAAGTCAGAGATAAAATACTGACCCATACAATAAATCTGATCATAATTAATAATTCACGCAGCAATTATTATCCGTCAATCCCCGCGTTTCCGAACTGTCCTTCTCAAATCTATCGGGAGTTTTTTTTTGTGAAACCTACAGTCCTCTCCGAAATGACGAAGATACAAGTTTGTTAAAGAAAACCTATTATTAAAATTAAAAATGCTATTAAAATTGGCAAAACCGTAACTAAATGAAAACTGTTTTAGACATTTATGTTTAGACATTTATGAAAGAAATTTAATCATCTATCATTCTATTAATCAAAGGTAATTAATTATATTCGACTAATTTATTATATGTTGGCTTTTTAAATTGTATTATTAATTATACAGCATTACTTTAATATTATTTATTTATCATTAATTATACAGCAATATTTTTCATCTCGATACGAAAAAGCATTAAAAACAAATATAAAAATATCTGCTGCAGACTGCTAAGTACGTCTGAATGCCCCGGCTTAAGAATTAATTATTAATGAAATGAGGCGCAGGCTTTCGAGACGAGTTTGTTGAGGCAGCTTTGGGGTTTCTATGCGGCATGTGCCTCGACACGGAATGAACGCAATGCCCTTGGAAATCCCAAAGGAGTCCAACGCATCGCAACAGCAAGGAGAACGGATTCACGAGGATTCTAATGGACTCACCGATTTCGTACCGTCCAGCAGCTCGGTAGTCCTGCGTAGCCTCGGATAATCACCGCGCAGAGGGGTGTCGTTGGCAATCCCTTGATTCTGCCAATCAATATTCTGCAAATCCAGCAGGAACCTATTCATCTTTCAACGTGATTCCTGTAATGCACATGTACCGAGTTTATGATGCGGCCAGTAATTTCATAATAGCGATGTCTATTTAACTCGAACCCAGTTAAAAATTCAAAAGTGAAAAAAATTGAAAGTAAAAATGTCTGACCGAATGTTCAAATGCGAATTTTATGTATTATATACCGTAATAGTATACCATGTAGATATAACTCGTTATACTGAAGTCGGATACTAGCTATGTCAACTGAACTCGACAATAACATACGTCTGTTCCAAAATATCTATTAAATACGCTCAAATATCAATAATCTTGCATCTAGTAATTTGTTTGAACTATTAACTTAATTTAAAAAATTGTGTAAAATTCCACTTTTTATAATTAATTACAAATTTTAGTTACGTTAAGAATTGTTATAGATCTCTAATATAAACACATCTAAAGCTGCGCGGAAATAAAGTTTTACGTAAAAGACAACTGATTTTTTTTTCTATGACATTCTATCCTTACAAATGTTTTCTCTTTAGAATATTACGTACCTTTGCAAAATTCGTCCAAATGACACGCACCACACACCGTCCATCCGCTAATACCTTCCGAAAACAACCTTCCGAAACTATTGTTAAATGCCAACTGATCCAAACACCACTCGACAACTATCAACACGTCGATTATACAGTCTCGCCGTGGTTGATACATACCAAGGATTCCTCATCAAGGTCATTCGTCAAAATTGAGATTGTATACCCAAAAAAATTCATAACGTGTACTCGAATGTAGAAAATACCGATGTATCCCTATAAGTATATTTATCGAACATGAAATTTTTTTTTTAAATTAAATGATTTTTGCATAAATCATGAATCGTGATAATGAAAATAAATGAAACGTGACAATAGGGACATTTGTAGTTTAGTGTTGAAATTTGAAAAATGCTGTTTAAGATGTATGTACGGAAACAGATTTTCAAACGGTAATGTGAATACCAGCGATATACCATATTAACATAGATAAAAATACGCTTAGATGTTATCAGAAATAAAGGATTTATTAAAAATTTAAATATATCTATAAATGTATCTCTCGATAATGTTACATACATTTCGTCTAACGTGATTAGAAGTGGAGGTGAATAAAGTCAAAGTACTTTTCGTTCCGTTTTTTATTCCGCACGTTTCGGCGCTGCGTGTTACGTATTTTGTACATATGTATGCATTCGCTGCATATACGATTTCGTGCCGCCCAACGTGACGCGTTTCCCCGGAACACCGCAGTTAGTTCCAAGAGTCGTTTTCCTCAAAAGCTTTCTTGTCGGCCACGGTCTCGGTCACGACGGCAACCGCTGGCTCCTTGCGTTTCTTGCGCCTTTTACCTATACGAGACAAATCGGGCCGGTTGATGCAAAGCGCAGGCGAATAAAAAAGGGCGTGTAATACCTACCCGTGGCAACTTGCCACTCGTCGTCGTCGTCCTCTTCCTTCGGTGCCTTCACGGTGCCGTTGGTCGTCGACTTCTCGTCATCCTTCGGGTCCACGTTCCTGCGGACAACAATTCTCTCATGTAATCGCGAACGAAAAAGAGTCTCCTCCGTCGGCGTGGCGAATATAATCTCCGATCGAGTCGATCGGCAGATGCCGACAGTCGCGGCGTAAAAAGGACTCCCGTCTCATTCACGAGGATCCTACCGTTTAACATCCTCCACCCTCCTCCCTCCTCCCCCCCTCTCCCCTCGATTCTTTATATACCCTCCGCGATATCGGCTGTATTTAACGAGAACGCGCACACGTGCGTCGCGTTACATGACGCGCGCACGTGATGCTGCATATTCACAAGTCGCGAGCCTCACAGCAACAGTTCCGCGAGCGGCTCCGACACGCGCGCCGAGTAAATTCCTCGGGCGTAATGTACGATAATGCCAATAATGCACAACCGCGACCGAACGAGTGAGCGAGCGAGCGTACATACGTACGTTAAATATAGCCGAACGGACGATCGTTCCCGGTCGGTCCCTCTCTCTTTCGCGATTGCATCCACCGCGCGCTCGTGCGCCCGAGGTGCCTGCAGCCTCTCGACGTTAAACACTCGGTTCTTCATCCGTTAAGTCGCAATTTCCTTCGATCGATGGATTTTGAAGCGTGTCTCATTTCTCCAACTGACCAGGATCTTTTTTTTTTCGCCCTTTCGTTCGGGAAAAAAAATCACCCCTAGGCACAGACCAGTGCCGACTCCTCCCGGAGCTCAAATCGTACCGACAGTAAATCCCACGTCCTCTCAATGACCATTATGCTCCTCCTAGAAACATCATTCGTTCCGTCCGCGGTTGTGGCCGCGAGCGGCTCGTCATCCGACGCTGATGTCGTTCCGTTCCGCAGGAACGCACGGAAACGCCGCGTGTGCACGCGCGACGCAGCGGGGAGAGTTACGAGCGCGGTGATTGCGAGCACGTGGGCGATTCATTAATATCGTGTCGCCCCGCGAGACTGAGCGTTGCTGTAAATACAATGCGACGTAGAGACTGCAGTTGGTTAAACGGAAACGGGAGACGTGTATATATGCGTGTACATGTATATACGTATATACGGGCCGTGTGCTCGGCGAGCGAAGACCGCGGCTAACGACAGTTGACTGGAACATGTGCCCGGTGTATTGATTACCTACCGCGGCCGGCAGTACCTCGTTAAGGACTTTCATAGACGCGTCGCTTTAAACGCACGATTGACTACTTACTGTTCGAGGGAACGCGTATGTCCGTAAAAAAAAAAATCATTAATCCTTTTCTCGGAAAATATTACTACGAATGATACACATATTTTTAACAATTAATAATATTTCCTTGGCTTTCTGCCTAATCTAACTATCGAACGCACGTTAAATAGTTATTTCAGTAATCCGAGATAGATTTAAATTTAAAAAATAAAAAAAAACGAGCACAAAATCTAATTGGAATTCTTTACATTGATGTAACGTAGGCTGGTCGTGGCTTTTAATGGAGTATAAGAAATAAACGGGGAGCAAGAGTATTAAACGATTCAGATGATTTCACGCTTACACATCGTTCAATGCAATCCCCATAGACACCAGTCACTCACACGACGATGATGCCTCGCAAACCGGACCAGGGGAGGTAAGAGAAGGAGGAGGAGGAGGAGGAGGAGGAAGAGTAGGAAGCGCAGGCAGAGTAAGAGGAAACTGAAGGGCACGGGGAGAAGAAGAGCAAGAAGGCTAAATAGGCCTGTAGAGAAAAGAGAGAAAGAAGAGAGAGAGAGAGAGAACGAGCGTCGCGTGCATTAATTCAGAACAAGGTCTACAGCCCTATGCAAATCTCTCGTGTACAGGAAATCCTAGGCGGCCGCCTAGGGTCTTATCCCTCTCTCCTTCTCTCTCTTTCTATCGTCTTGGAAATCATACCGGACCTATAACGCGTTATTCATCCTTGCGTTTAATACATCTCGCACGAGCGTGATAGCTCGCGGTGGAAAATAAATTGCGATAGAGACCGTTCATTTTTGGAACATGAACGCGTATGATTTCCAAGATTGCGACGTGATCGTGAACATATATATCCATGCCGCAAAAGATGTGTGTACAAAGTTCTTACAAAGTTTCGCTTTTTCTCTAAACATGGACAAAAAATTAGTTTTATTAATCCAGAAGTAAATAAAAAAAATTTGAATTAGTAAATTACCCGAATTGATAGTGAATGGATAAGAAAATGTTTAGAAAATGTATGTAAAAAAAATTAAAAGAGAATCTGGGAATTAATTTTAACGTTTGTGGAAGCGTCTGTGAGTTGAATTGATTGCGTAAAATGTTATGACAAAATGTGTACAACTTACTTTGACGTTAACAACTTCCGTTTACGGTCATCTGGAGAGACGTTCTGCAAGGTGGCTTGGTGCTGTGCGTAGGTCTGTATTTTGCACACAGTTTTCTCGGAAAAATTCGCCTTCACGGCGCCGGTCTGATCGCGCCGATATAAGCCTATGTACGCAGATGTGTCGGATAACCACGAAATATATCCGCCTCCTGTAAGCAAGAAGAGGAAGAGATCCAACATATCCTTCATATATCCTTTGTGTCAATTCTGGTTTGTACAAAAAAGAAAGTCATCGTTTATTTTATTTATTCTATGTATAACTTAATACTCACCGAATGGACTAAAGATTTGACTGATTTCCGCATGTTTCCATTCTCTAGGGAATGTCAGATGAAACACGTGATCTCTGCTAGGATTTGCTAGAAAAAGATGTATTTTTTTATTAAATAAAAGTAATGTATTCCTGCCTCTCTCTCATTGATTTTATAAAATAGTTTCAATGGCATTAATACAATGATATTATAATATCACTTTTTGGCACAAAATATACTCACGATCCTTTCCTACCAAGTTTATATAAGGAAAATCTTTCAGTCTTGCTATAGGAAGTCTGTAAAAAAAAAACAAATTATAAGTAATTACTTTTATAGGAAATAAGAATATAAGAATATTTTTCTAAAAATAGAATATAAGATATTTGATGCTATTGATGTAACATACTCACTTGTTGAGATAAGAATTAAGCAAAGGTGAATTCGCTAATACCACAGAGTTTTCAGATTTTTGCAATGTGCCTGAAACAAGGGACAATCCAACATGTATTCACTGGCAAGTTATAAAAAACAAAATAATTCGCAAACTAAATTATCCATCGATGTATGTAATTGATTTTTAAAAAATGTCAATAAATATAAGAGAGAAACATACATTATCTCTGCTCTACAAAATATGTTTTTTTCTTACAACCAATTACCTACAGAAATGAACATCAATTATCCATCGTTGTGTTATACTTGTACCTGATGCATTGTTACTGACCAAGATAATTGGACAATGCAATAAAGCATAATCCAGTGATGTACGCATCATAGCCTGCCTCGTGCGATTTTTCTTTCGACACCGAATAACTGCGTCCTTCCACAGGCTCCACTTCGGGAATGGAAAATGGAGGCTTGCTCACGATGTCCAACAACGAGTTCAAGTTCGACGACGACACAAGCTCTTTAAACTGTTGCGATTGACAGATGACTTTCGTATCCAACAAACTCAAATTAAAAAAAAAAGGAGATAAATATTTGCGACAGTTCTCGTCAATTCGTAATTTAATAAACAAAAATATTTGTTTAAATGTCTCAGTTTACTAGAGATTGATTAAAGAATTAAGAAATTTTGAGTGAAAGGATATGTAGTGATTACGAAATCGTTCATGAAACAATGAAATAATACGGAAATATTTGCATAAATGTCTCAGTTTACTAGAGATTGATTAAAGAATTAAATTTTGAGTAAAAGGATATATAGTGATTATGAAATCGTTCATGAAACAATGAAATAATACGGAAATATTTGCGCCTACCTAGGGAACAAGCCCTGAAGCAAGGTCTTGAATTCTGAATAGCTACTTGGCAAAAATGTGAAAAATTGATGTACAATGTGACATAGATCTAACAGCATGTTATGTCCTACTATTATCTTTTCCTGAAACAAAAAGATTATAACATATGTTTAAACATAATTATGAACAGATAAAAAGAGTTACATATTTAGTGAAGTAATATTTTGTTCCTTTCTAATTAAAAAAAAAAAAACAAAAAAAATGTTGCTTTTAAATAAGTTACAAGATTGTAAAAAAAGGTAATATTTACATTACTAACTCACTACATTCGCTAAAATAGTGACGTAATTAATAAAAATGAACTCTACTTACAGACTCTACAATCTTCTTCAGGAGGGTGCTGAGTCCTACAGCATGTTTAATCTCCAATTTCTCCCTCTCGCGCTTCTCCTTTTCCTTTTCTTCCTCCTCCTCCTTGGTACCTGCTCTCTGCACCAGAAGACAGTGCCAGGTGTTCTCAATCTTACTTTCAACTCTCACTTTGCTAGGCCACCTGATCCGTGCCTCTTGATACACCAGTCTTCTCATAAAACCATTACATTTGTCTATCGTCAACTCTTTTTCATCTGAGGTAAGAAAATTCTCTATTCTAGAACTGAAAGGTACGGTCATGATTGTTTAGACAGCGTCTCTTTCAGCGTCATGTTTCATGTTATTTCGCTGGATTTTAAGAAAGTGACAAATCAGAAAAACTTAGACTCACCATATCTCTTCTATTTGAGGCCTGTCGTTATCCGATATTGGAATAATGTCCTGATTGTTGTCCTCTTTGAGTTTCTGCCTCTCCTCCATGCGTTTGACAAGCTTCTCCTCTTCGCTCGCAGAGAGATACGGTATGCCGTGCTTGAACAGCTTGTTGAAGTCAAAGTTTTGATTCGCCAGAAACGCCATGGACGACGCCTGGCACAGGAATCTGCTGTCCGGCGCCTGGCGATTCAGCGGTTTGGGAAACACATAGAAGTTGTAAGAGCGCTGAGAGTATCTGAGAACAGGTGATCATTTCTTGCAGATCTACAATGTGTTCCTTGCATCTTGTTTCTTGCATTTTATCACTTTTCATCACCCTTGCCTTTTTGCCTCTTACATCCTGATCCTTCATTTTCACCCGGGATAGATGTTGACGAACCTCAAGAAGAGGTACAGGAAACACACGACAAGAAACACGATTGTCGAGTAAAACGGTCGCAAAGAGGGAAAAGGGCAAGAGGTAAAGGGCAAAGAGCAGGAAGCGAAGAGCACATTGTAGAGTTCTATAAACTACTTTGAAAAGCACGCTCGTTCACTTCAATGAAAATTACTAATGCGGAGAGAATTCGCGGACAACATCTCACTTGTTCGTTTGCACGTCGTACGTAAAGACGGACAGGCCAAACTGGACGAGCAGAAAGTCCATCGATCCCCCTCGCAGCTTGGCGTAATACTGAGCCGGCGTGTCGAACGGGCCGGCATCCGGGCCCGAGTTGAGACCGGTGAACTCGCCGTCGATACTGAGAAAAGTGGCGTCCCTTATGACGCTCTCCAGCTCGGACAGCACGTCCTGAAAGTCTGAACACCGATGATCACGTTAGATCGATTAAATTATTAGCGGAGGCAAGGGGGTATCGCCGTGCCTTTATCAACGCGGTTAAACCGGTTAAATCGTAAATCACGGCGATTTATCCGATAAGGTAACTGTTTACTCCGGTTTACTCACTTGAGCTCGTCACCTCCATTGTTTTCCTCGCGTCGTTTCACGCGCGGCCAACGCGGACGTTTTAATGTACACACATGATGACGTAGGTCGTAGGAGAACGGAAGGGAGCGCGAGGCTGGTACACTTCTGGAAGGAGACTGGAAGTAGACGTGCCCGCCGTTTTTGGCTTCCGTTTACTGGCGCCTCCACGCGCACGAACGTTGAACTACGTAGCCACGAATATTTTCGCCGGGTAACAACATTCACGGTCGAATCTTCCGATTTTTTTATTTCGTCCTAGTGCGTTAGAAAAATAATAATTATAGAAATTGAAATAAAGTCTTAAAGAATCTAAATTAAAAAGATTTCAGAAATATAAAGTTTAAGAAGCTAGATATTAAAAAAGATATTAAAAAGAAAACAATGAATACGTTACCTGCCGAAAATATCGATGGCTGGTGTGGTTCGAAGTGCACGTTTTGGGCGCAGGGAGGCGTTGGCGAGCGGACTCCATTCAAGGGATTGCCGGGGGATTGTCAACTTGTCACTTCTCCAGCGGTCAGGCGGCTCAGGGGCTTAGCCTTTGTGATTGTTTATGTAATGTTAATTGTTACATTGATTTCTGCTTCGGACAGTGCAACAGTAGTCATTGAACCGAGTAGATCCGAGTACCATCGGGTTGATGGTGATTAAAATTCACCGAGAAAACTCACTTAAAGAGTTTTACAGTACTCGTCGGTCCTTGCCGGTCTGTGGTATAGGCTAGGATTGACCGTTTCAGCATCGGAATAGTTGTAAAATAGGGAATTTAAAAATTGTAAACGCGAACTGGAGGGACCGATAATGAGATGTGCAAGATTCGAAAGTGGCAAAAAATCGCATTTGAATGCAATGAGAGGTAGCTAATTTCGTTTAATCACATTGATTATCCTCTTTTTTTTTTAATTATTATTTCGTTACTAACGAGAGCACATGTGATTTGCGTAGGTGTGGAAAATGCGGCAATGACGTCGAGTGGCAAGATGACGAAGAGGAGCGACAACTCCTCTCCTCGAAGAGGTTGTCAAGAGCAGTCGGCCCCCGGTCAGCACAGCACGCCGGTCGCGCGGAAACAGGGCGCGAACGCGGACGCGGAGAAATCTCCGGAACCCGATTACTTCCCGAGCCCGATCTTGCCGTCGTACACGCAGGAGGGCGGCAACGAGGTCGCGTGGGACTGGCAAAGCAGCTCTCTGAGCAGGACCCCCGAGAGCAGGAGCAAGAAGCCGAGCGTCCAGGGCGAGACGCCCAAGGGAACCAAGCTGCTGCAGAGGAAGAGGAACTCGAATTCACCCCTGCTGTACAAGCCGCTCAAGAGGAAGACCATCAAGAGGGAGAACATAGAGAACATTGGACAATTTGCGGCTGAGCTGCAGGCATTAAGCGAGAGAATGAGGGTGATAAAGCAAAGCGACAAGAATCCCTCGAGCGACGCTCCTTGCGTCAAGGAGGAGGAGATGCCGATGTTACCGAACACAAGTGGCATGACAGAGACGTCAGTAGTTAAAAACGACGGGCAGAATAGCGTCGGAAGATGCAACGATAACGATAACGAGCTGAATAACGTCGAAGAGACGGAAGATCGTGGCGACACCGGCAGCAAGGAAGCGGCCGGGAGTTACGACGATCTGTTTGACGATTCCGTGGACGACGATATGATCAGGTGCACTCAGGAGATCGAGGAGAAGTTTAGTTTGTTGGAAAGGGGGAATTCCGCGCAATTACAGGTCAAGAAGGAGGAATCGTGCAGCGCAAATGACGTAGCCGTTAAGGCGTCCGTACAGTTTAGTTCGAGGGAGACCAGCAGGCAGCCGTTAGTCAGAAATACTTTAGGCGCGGGCGACAGTAGTACGTTAAAAACATACTCGAAGCTGAGACGAGACGCGGACTCGAGCGTGCACGCCGCGGCGCAGAGAAGTAAAGACCCACCTAAACCGTGTCCGAATAACAATAACACGATACGCCCCGTTCACGCCGCGAAGCCGTGCGACAGTAAGAAACTGCCGAAGAGTAATACCGTAGACCTGTTTGATTTTGCAGACGACTCCTTCGACGATTGGTTAGCGACCTGCGTCGAGGACGAGAAGAAATTACTGCCCGACGACGTATCCTTATCCCGTAAAAACGACGGCGCCAGGCTTCAAGGCAATTACAGGCGTTTGACCAACGCGGCGTTGAAGTCCGAGATCAAATCCGCCGACTCGCTCAAACCCATGGCGAGGGCGTCGGGCCCCGAGACGTCCAACAACGTTAACTACCTGGAGAACAGAAAGTTCTTCAAAACCAAGAGCCTGTCGGATCAGTACGTTAGCCGGGACGCGAGCGCGAAGGGTAGTACGATGAGCGTCTCGTGTCGATCTTACGCGACGAGGCCCGCGTTACCGCATCCGAGCGTGTCGAGAGGTTCGATCGCGCACACGAGTGGCACGCGTGCCCCCGTAAGTACAACAACAGCAACAACAACACCGATCGTTACGTCGAACGGCCACAAGCCCGAGAATAATGCAATTTCGTTGATGCGCGGCACGGATTGTACGTGGCGCGGGTCCGACGCTGTTAACAGGTGCGCGGTAAAAAGCGATGGTGATCGCTTCGTTAAGCATCGTTCGACCGGTAGTATGAAAAGCGATACGCGGGAAACGGCGAGAACCGGCTCGCAGCCCACGACGGCACCACGGACGTGCACCGCGGAAGAGATCGAGAGAAAGAGATTGCAGGCCGTGGCGAGGCTCGAGGCGAAAAGAAAGTTACACTTCACGAAGACCACGAATAGCATCAATAGGTGAAACCGCATATGCCTTACGTTTTTTATATTTACTTATCACGAGGAAGCGATGACTTTCTTAATCACAATGTTGTTCCAACGACAAAAACTATCTTCCTGTGATCGTCGTTATCATTGTCTTTATTGTAATCATTGTTATATTGTAGAACGTTTTAAAGAGAAGTTTCGCAAATATATTTATAATTATACGTAAGAGTATAATCTGACCTCATAGAACACATTTTAAATCATATATAGATTCATATTATTTTATAAAATTTTAAAAGACTATAATTACGTTACAAGTTCTTAAAGAACGTCTAAATTTTATTTTTTTTTAGGAAAATCGCCTTTTTGATCGGTACCAAATTGCCAAATTGCAGCGGAGAAAATTGAACTTGTTTATATCAAATAAATAATTGAAGTACTTTCAAGATATCAATTTATATAGAAAAATAATTTTGTTTCGTTATCGTATGTAATTAATATGCAAGCTATAAAGGAAACCAATTTAAATAAGAAAAATTTAATATTTTATTTTTAAAAAATAACAGAAAATAAGTGAAATCTTAAAGCAATTAATTATATTATTTTTTATTTTTGTAAATAAAATATTTCGTTTTCCGTCTGGATGTATTCGAGTAAAATAAATTTTTAGATCTGTAATTAACACTTTAGATCTAAAAATTTATTTAAGACCCGTATACATCCAGATGGAAAACAAAATATTTTATTTACGAAAATAAAAAATAATATGAATTGCTTTAAGATTTCATTTATTTTCTGTTATTTTTAAAAAATAATATATTAAATTTTTCTTATTTAAATTGGTTTCCTTTGGCTTGCATATAAATTAAATAACATATAATTAAATAACATATAATTTAATTACATACGATAACGAGACGAAATTATTTGTCTATATAAATTAATATCTTGAAATTACTTCAATTATTTATTTGATATAAACAAATTCAATTTTAAGATTTTACGAAATTGGTTATAATATTTTTGGTCATATTATATGTATATAGATGAGAGATCAGACCTTTGACTATATAAATATATAGTCAAAGGATCAGGGGAATGATTGCGTATTATAAAAGTAAGTATATATCGATCATATACGAGTTTTATACATAAAAACTATTATTGGATACACGTGCCATCTTGTCAATAGTACGAAGCGTTCAGCTCAAATATTATTTTATCGTGAGACTCGCGATTACATTAAATTTTATGAGGAATCAATGATTTTTCTGGATTTTTTAATTTTCTTAATGCTCCTCCCTCTCTTCCCGTTATTTGCTCGAAAAATACGTTTCCCATTACATGTATATTTACCCTGCTATACGCTATATCTTTAACTTTAATAATTGACCCATCCAAACAGTTCATATATTGCGACGGTGCTGTTCTGCAGCTGACTTGTCGTTTTTATTAAAATTCAATTTTTTTTTAAAAAGCTTATCTGCTAGATAAGAAATTTTAAGATACAATATGTGTAACGTATTTGACACACGAGAGAGGAGATAAATTTATTCAAAAAATTCGATAGGGAAGTCGGAGGGAAAGTTCTCATAATACGATCCTCCCCGATCTCTACATCTCCGATTCCTCTAGGGCGTAAGATGATGTTACAACAAATTTTTCAAACGTAACTGCGTGTATACTCATCCCTTACTCTGAAACGGCGCGTGACGAATAAAGCAGGGTGTATATTATACTAGCTTACGGAATGATGGAGCGACTGTCCATTATGTTTACGAAAATGGATTGAGAGACGGAAGTTGAAGGTAAAAAGAATCGAAGTGAAGAGAAACAAAGACAAACGATATACGCGTAATACAATAATATAGATTAACGATATAATATAACGATATAGTATAAAATAAACTATATATAATACAAATGTATTGCTCGATCCAAGTGGAATTGTTTGTTCAAACAACAGAGAAGTTTTATTTTGAGCGCGAGCACGAAATTCTCTCTTTTTAGTTCTAAATGTTTGTTTTAATATTTCAAAGCATTTTCATCGAAAACATCATCGGAATTCGATTAGTTTGAATTTCTATTTGAGGCATTCGTTCCGAACAGCGCGTATTTTAATTTTCGTTTGCTGTCACACGGACTTTTTCTTCGAAAATATTTTTAGCGAAACGTGACCTCTCTCTGCACAGGATTTAATAATAAAATAATTGCTCTTTAGTTGTTTCCCTCAAAAATTTCTCTTCCTCAAAGATTCACACAAGAGGTAGAATTAATTCTCCGCATGTGTGTAACTATTCAGTTTCTTGTTAATAGTCATAATTCGCGCTCTGCGCTTGCAATTTTTAGGAAAATTTGGAAAATGCTTGAATTTGCATAATTCGATTAGACATTTTATTTATAAAAAAATGACGCGAAATATCAAAATAAAATGATAAATATATTCTCATAAGCATGACATTTGTCATCATATTTGTCTCGCATTCAAATTGACTTTTATTTGAGATTTTTACTTTACTATTACATATAGATTATTTTTTTCGTTGAAGGTAAATATTTCTTATTTGACGATTATTATCGAGAAAACAAATTCGCGCACGCGCGACCACCGAATTTTCCATGTTGGTCGACGTCGACGTCGAGATGCCGTTTTAATCAATATATCGAATGACGTCACGCGAGAGGTTTATCACCTGGCCGCTTGGTTGTTCTACGCGGCGCAGCTACGCAATCCCCCTTTTCTACCCCCTTTTCTCTACCCGATGACGCTAGTGTTTTAATTCGTTCTCTCGCCTCCCTCATTCCATTAGCGAACGTCGCGCGATCCGGGAAAACGCGTCTCTCCCTTATCGGGAAACGAAAAATTCCTCTCGTATTCCCTCTCGCGCGAAGAAATTTGCGGCGTTTGCGCGTTAAACGTCGTCTCTTTCTCTCTCTCTCTCTCTCTCTCCCTCACGCTTTTTTTCCTTCCATCTTTCGCGCGCCTGGTATCTAGGCGCGGTAATCATTTCGCGTACTTTGCGCTTCGGATGGATTCAGTGGCCCGCGTCGCACATCCGCGTTACGGGCTCCTCCACTTCCTGTCGGACGGATTCGCCGCGGTGTCGTAGCGCTGAGCGGCGCGTTCAATCCCCGTGACCGCCACCACCATCACCACCACCACCACCGGGGACCATCGGAGAGGAAGGAGCTTCCTTTCCTCTTTTTTTTCTCTTTTTTCCCCTCTTTTCTCCAAACGTCGATTCCCCTCGTCGTTTGCGCCGTGCGTCTGTAAACTGACTGTGGCCACCGCCATCGCCACCTCCTCCGCCGCCTCCTCCACCGTCGTCGTCGCCGCCGCCACCGTCACCACCGTCACCGCCACCGCCGCCGCCGCCGCCGCCACCACCGCCGCCGCCACCGCCACCACCACCACCATCACCACCACCACCACCACCACCACCGCCGCCACCGCCGTTCCTACCGCCTCCACCGCCGAAGATCGTAGTACCGTCGCGTACCTCGAGTAGCCGAGTACATCGAGCGTCCAGTATCCCCGAACCCGCGAATGCGGAGTACGAGTACCTGGACACACCACGCCGGCCGCCTCTCATCGTCACGATGCTCCTACTCGCGGTGATCGGGCTCCTCGTCCTCGCCGGCACGACCACCGCCGAGGTCTTTACCAACACGTTCCTGGTGAGGATGCGGCAGCCAGCGGAGCGGCACATAGCCGATCGCGTGGCAGTCAGGAACGGCTTCATCAATCTCGGACCGGTAAGTCCGCCAATTCCTGGATAACTCACAACAAGGAGGAAACAAAAAAGTGAAATTTAGAGAACACATAGGCAATATGTATGTACGTAGCGTTAATCGAGAATTCCTTATAAATTTGTATTCCTCTCGGCTGCGACTATACTTCACATTTTCCTCGGTCCCTAATTCTCTCTTCTCCTTTCAAATTTCCATTCTTTCCTCGTCGCAGATGGTTACCCAATTTGTTCGGAGTACAGAAACTGTAACGCGATAATTAGACAAATTTTAAAGAGCCCCGCGTACGCTTCTCTCGCTTTGATCCATACCGTGTCGAGCTGCACGAACAAAACGTTCGTACATATTACATATATTATATATATATATATATATATATATATATATATGTATATAGATGCGCGGGCGGGAAAGGGTCCGAGCGGGCGGTAAATTTATCACACAACGGCGAACGCGTAACGATCGGATCGCGGGCGACGTCTTTTCGAAGTCGAGAACTCGACTCACTTCCTTCGCGTATGGCGGTCTAATCGTATATATAACTTATATCGCGTATCTTACAACTCGCGAGAAATGGCACGCGAGCGTTTCTGGTTCAGATGGCGTGCCCCCTCGTGCCCTCCACGTCGTCCGCGCGCAACTTCGCCGTTGTGCCGTTGTCAGAACGGACGTCCATTATGTACGGTTGAACTACTGGGTTCTCCAATAAATGTCACGAAAAAGGAATATCCGTGTGGGATAGCAAAGAGCGCGCGCCCAATAATACGCGCTCGATGCCATTATATTTGCAGCCGACGCGAATATCGACGGACATCGCGGTGATTTCCGAGAAACCGATAAACCCGTTTCACGTGTTTCCTGCCCCGACTCGTTTGATATACTCGATTAATTAGTAAACGAGCGAAACGATACATGACGAGGGTTGGAACGGAGAGGGGGGAGAGGGATGAAATATTCTTTTTACGTCGCTGAAACCGCAGGACCGCTGATTCCATTGGTAACAACACAGTTCAATTACTCCGCAACAGATTGCATTGTTGCATTACTGGTCGTATTTTCCAGCGTGCTGAACCGACAAGAACGTTCATTGATGGCATCTCCAATGATACTACAGCTCCGCTGCTCCCTCATCCTTTTGTATCTTCTAAATGTCTCGGATTAATATCGGAGTCGCTAAACAAACAGCTCTTGAGTCTGATTATCGCTTTAATATCGATCGTTGTATGAACAAGTAATATATAAGAGTCTTTCTTTCTCAAGCGCAAAGTAAAAAGAACCAAAATAATACACGCGCGAGAGCGAATATACATATATTGTATATACTTGTCAAATATATATCCTCAAATATTCCAGTCGTTAATTCGCTAACTCTGCGAGCGGCACAAATAACGCGAAAGTCGCGGATATTTGCAGCAGAAGTAGGTAAATTTTTAAGTGGAGTAATCGATCGCGGAACGTTTCGCATTCACGGCATTTTCCGAGCTGAGCATGGGGGATCTGGATCGCTGCGTATCGCGGTGCATTCCCGCATAATTTGCGCGTTTAATTAAAGAGAGAGAGAGAGAGAGAGAGAATCTTGTCGCATGGCTCGCGAAGTATTAAATATTTCGTATATATCGACTCCGAGCTTGTCGCCACGGCTGACGCCACGCCAGCGCGCGTCAGACTCAGCGCCACGTCCGCCCGCAGTTTGATGTACTCTACTGATTGCGGGGCTGACCGTGCCGCAACCGACTACACTAGCAAATTCGCTCGCTCGCGCTCTACCCCTCTCCGCGTTTGGTTTTGCACGCCGTTGGTTAACACGCGTTATTTAATTACATATATAAAAAAGCGTAATATTAAAAACGTTATCAATTCCAAGAAAAAAATACAATGCAATATAATATTAAAAAACGTAATATTGTATATATATTTTTGCAATTAAATAATCCACGTACTTTACAGCTGCAGGACAGCTTTACGCCTTGACGCAGAGTATATCTCGATCGGCAAAATCTCCAACTTAATATTATCGGTGACATTTTTCTCGTAGGAATCTATATATCAGATATCTCGTCGACATTTTTCTCGCGGAATCTATATATGTATATATATCAGATAACTTATCGGTCGAAACGCGCTTTTATGACGCGTCTTCATTTAGACACCGTCACGTATAACGATCTTCAGAGCGTCTCAGCGCGAGGGGGTAGCACAGTCGACAATTGAGCAGCATGCCTATAAAAAAGTTATTGCGGTGAAAAGATAGAGTACGAAGGAGCACAAACACTTTTTCCCCGAGCACTTTATTTTCATGATAGGAAAGGTAAACCGCGGCTCGACTCGAGCAAAACCATCTTCGCCGTCAGTCGATGTACTTTTACATTTACGAGGCGGGTAAAGGGAATAACATCTGAATTGCGCGGATTAGTTTGTTAATAATCGGCAAGAGAGGAGTACAAGCGTTAGTCAAGACATTTATTTGAGCTTACATTATTTATAGAAAGCCTCGCGTTGCTCTGAGAGCCTTCTTTATTATAACTTATCGAGTGGAAGTTTTTTAAACGAAGACTACCGTCGCTCTTTCTCTCTCTTTTTCACAGCTGGAACTTTTCTTTTTCATCTCAGAAGTTTCTCACTGGTGTGTGTGTATATATATTGCGTAAAAATTTTATAACAATAACGTAAATGAAAGGAATAGGGATAAGTTTGGCTTAGCTGTATTATTCTTTGCGATGCGGTTACGTTGAGAGATTAATAAACGCAGTTCTTGGATTATGCTAATACGACGGCTCGTATAAGTCAGACTTAGTTAACGCAAGCTTCCATTGGCCAAGTTTAAATGAACTACGGCTGCATAGTCTGCATCGAAACGAGATGTAAAGTTACTTCGAGAGATCAATACTCGAGAAAACTGCGGGTTTAAAAAATCACGACGCGTGACACCCTGACGCACGTGCACGGGGTAGTTATTAACGACACGAATCGAAAAGATAATGACTTTACGCGAAGAGATAATATGCAAAAGTATAGCGGAATGGCATTTTTTAATATACGAGTTCCACTCTTTTTTTTATTGGTGTGTATATTACTTTTAGATTTAAATGAAGTTTTATTGCAATATCAATCGCTATCTCAACAATATTATTTAAAATATGAATAAAAATACAGAATTTTCCGTTTAAATGAATAACAAAAAAGAAACAAAATTATTGAACAAACGAATAAAAAAAATGATAAAAATAATAAATTTATCTTTGTTTCTTTTAATGAAACGTAGTATTTTTTTTCTTTTATTATCGTTATTGAGACGGGTCATCGACATTCTCATTATTACAAGTTTAAAAAATATTGCTAATTCCTCTACTGACGCAATTCTCTCTCGTACAAACGGATTTTACCATCAACTTGTTTCTTTTTTACATGAAGCCACCTGGATTTGCGATTATATCGCCGATAACCGGCCACAGAGTATTAGATAAACGTTTCTGATGCAACTTTACCAATGTAGAGGAAATTGATATCCTGTAAGCTCTATTTACCGGCGTAGTGACGTAGTTTCTCTCGATTAAAGCTCTTTCCTAGCTGTCTCGTACGATTAACCGCCATAGGACACGGAGGCTAAATTATCGTCCGGATCGATCGCCTCCATCGCGATGCGATTAATTCCACCATGCTTGGCAGTGACTGATTTTACGTTGCACAAGCCTTGACAGCGTTTGATGCGATCAATTAAAGAGGAGTCCCCTCGCGATTTAACAAGTTGTCAAACAGCTGTCATTGTCTTTCATTTCGTGGATTATACGCCGCGGCATATCAATTTCGCATGCCGAGTCGAGTCGCAAGGAACGAAAAACATGCGACATTCGAATATTCACGAATAAGGGAAATAAAACTGGGACTGTAAGAGGCTCTATTCCTCGGAGAGCGTAGGAAAACAATCCCGACTTCCGTTCCCATTTTTTTCTCCTCGCTGCTACGACCCAAGGCTGGCGACCGTAAGCCGCAACGAGGATTTACGTAAATAGTCCCCGAAGCCGAGACAATCCTCGCTATTTACGACGGCCTAGAAAACTAATTATTTTATCTCACATAACGCACTCTCTTTATTTGCCGACGTGGGCGTATCGGGAAAGCGGATTAACGATATCGTGCGTCGGTTTAGAAAAAAATAAATTCTTAATCTAGGTATTGCTACAATTTCCATTCTTACAAAGAGATCCTATTTGTTCTCTTTTCCTTTCCTCCAGGCATTTATCTTATTGTCTAAGCAGTTAGAAATGTGTCGTACACTTGATTTTCAATCCTCCGGCGGACAGAATTGTTCTTGTCAAGAAAATAAAAAAATAGAGAATTAAATGTATAAATAAAATTATTAATAATTAGAATTTATTGTTTTACGTTACATAATATATTATGTTGAATGGTTACATTCCTTATATACGTACATTTCCTTACATACGCAAAAGCGATTTATAATCATAAAATAACTATATTGCGATAAAATTAATAAATAAAAATGAATATTTTATATTTGTACTTTAATTATTATAATATTATATACTATGTTACGAATAAGAAATATTTCTTCCTTCCTATAAATTATAGAAATTTCACACGATACGTGAAGAAACAGAAGATACAAAATCAAGATACATAAAGAAAGAACACATAAAAGAAAAAAAAGATACTTCCGTTTTCGATAAAACGCGCGAGGTATTCATTGAAAACGAAGTTATCAAAATGTTTTAATTGCCAACCAACTTTTAAGAACTAACTTGTTCTAGCTTTATTTATTCCGGGAAGAATTTAACTTATATTAAAAGTTCCGCGCTGCACCCGTGTTATGGGGCACAAGGAATAAATATAAAAAAAATTTGTTTTAAGGTATTGGACAGTCGGACGGATTATCATTTCGTACATAGAGCTTTGCCGCATGTACGAAGCAAACGGTCGGTGCCACACATGCGAAGATTAAAGGTCGACCCTCTGGTAAGTTGACGTCTTCTCTGCGATGTCGCGCCTACGCGACAATTATCATCGTAAAGAAAAAAAATGGAAGTTATTAAAATGCTAATACATTTGCCCGAGATTCAGATTGCACTATAGTTTCGTTTTTTTTTCATTCTCAAGAGAATTAAGTTTGAATGAGTTTTATACTTATCGAGACACGGGAATACATAATAAAATCCGGTTTTTCATAATATTTGGAATAAAATTATTAAACCCTTGCGCTCCAAATTATTTATTGCAAGCAAACAGCGATTAAATATTTCGCCTTCAATATAATCAGCGAGATTAACGTACAATCGATCGGTGTGTATTATTTGGATAAATTCATCGAGATTTCAAAAATACATTTGCAATCAAGCACCGAGCGTCGAGTGTTTGGAGAACAATGCGGAGGATTGCCGCGAGGTGATTGCGTCGAATCCACTTCGACACCGGATTGCAAGGGATTAAGAGGTGTCGGCGCGCTTCTCCCTCTCTCGTATTTAATGTGTTGACGGTGTCAAACGGGGTTGAAGCACAATAAAAATATTTAGGTGGCCACGGCGATACAGCAGGCTGGTTTCAAGCGAGTGAAAAGGGGCTACAAGCCCCTGAGCGTGGACAACCTCGTGCCGCTGTACGAGATTAAGAATCCGGCGAATCCGGCGAGCAAGGACCCGACGGATCCGTTCTTCAAGTATCAGTGGTACCTGAAGAACGTCGGGCAGAACGGCGGCAAGCCGAAGCTGGATCTGAACGTCGAGGCCGCCTGGGCCCAGGGCGTCACGGGGAAGAACGTGACGACGGCCATAATGGACGACGGTACGTTGACGGGGGAACATTTTGCTCCATTTCTCCGCTTCCCTTTTTTTCGCTCTCTTTTTCCTCTCTCGGAGCGGATCGACGTCTCCGAGCTAGCTTGGGGGACTTGTTCCCGAAGTCAAAACGGCGTTAAATTACACGCGCCCTCGAGTGCAGTTCGTGGGAACTGGCGGGCTTTGAATCGATATCGCGCCGAGAGGGTAGCGCGAGAGTTACGCAACGAGTGTTCTCGCTCTCTCCCGTCTCGCGGAAAGTATGTATTTTCGTAGCGTCTCCGCGTCCCGTAATGCCGTATTCGACGAACAGCCTAATAAGATTGTCCAACCGAATTCCTGCTAATAGCGACCACTTGTCATTAACGGGAGAGCAGAAATTGCCACTTTCCTGGTCGTCCTCCCACTCGGCCTTATATTGCCTCCCCTATTTTTTTTCGAATGGTACCGAGAACTTATTTACGTTATACGTTACACACGTACGTCGCACGTGGCGGCGCATAACGTCACCGCCGACACAAAATCCATATGTTATTATTAATAATTCCGCCGTTCTATTACAGGTGTCGATTACATGCATCCGGATCTCAAATATAATTACGTAAGCATATTCTTTTAATAATATTATTATTTCACTGCAAAAGGTTTCTCTCGGGTTTTTTTTATTGAGAATTTATTCCATTTTAAATCAAGTTTGAAGCGTTTAAAGTTTCAAATGTTTAAAGAGAACAATTGCGTCGAGACCAACGCTGGCGATCGTTTTAATGAACATTTCCTTTGCGACTGCAACTTTGTTTTCTGCAAAGTTGCAACTTTATGCGGCGCGAATGCGACAAACATTTTTTGCATCAATCTAGTGGAAGCTACTCGATCAGTTCGATACCTTTTAAAATAATGAAGAAGGTTTCGCAGAAGTTCAATGCGTTACGAACGCCAAGCCGATGCGTAGTATCTGCGATACCACGATATCCACGATAAATCTGCAATATACTGTGTAATATTAAATTATAATTTAGTATTAATTAAATTATGGTTTAATATGAATTAAATTATGATTTAATATTAATTAAACTATGATTTAATATTAATTAAATTATGATTTAATTTTACACGGAAAAAACGATTTTGCTGGATACAGATTTGAAAATAATTTTGTTGGACCATCGAAATAATTTTTTTTTTTATTTAAAAATGATGAACATCGCTATATAAAACGTTTTGATATTCTAGCTATATCAATTTCCAACAAAGTTATTTTGGTGGTTCAACAAAAGCATTTTCAGATCTGTACCCATCAAAATTTTTAAAAATTATTTTTAAAAATTATATTGCTTCCAGCAAAGTCGATCTTTCCGTGTATAATTTTAATGATAATAAAGGAGTATGCTAAAACAAATGTTATGTCAAAAAGGATCATTCTCGCAAATATTCTCTTCGTACTTTCGCATGAATGCCATTCTTGGCGTAACTTCCATAGGAAGGTACGTCAGGAATTTGAAATCATAGAGAACGAGAGAACTTTGAATGCGGGTAGAGCGTGGAGACAGAGAATAATAATCGCTTGCAGTGCTCGAGGGAAAAAATCTGCAGTTATTTATTTCTCCCTGTGCAAAAGCCGACAGCTAGCGCTTTATACGCAGCATTATTGTCTCTCTTTATCACTGTCACCGTAATTAAAATCAGCACGTAACTCGGCGCGATTGTACCGATTTCGTTTATTGCGAGCAATCTCGCAACGCCATAAATGTATAATCTCCAACGAATTAATAAGCGCGGGTCACTAAAGTCGACATTCTATTTCAGAACGCGAAAGCCTCCTACGACTTCAGCAGTAACGACCCGTATCCATACCCGAGGTACACCGACGACTGGTTTAACAGGTAAGGGGATGGGCATATCTTATATTCAAAGGAAGAATTATGTTCTCTCTCTCGCTCTCTCTCTCCCTCTTCTCTCTCTCTTGAAAGAGAGAAAGAGAGAATAGAACGAGGGAAAGTTAATCAAGCCGGAGTCAAAGAAGTAGATAAACGAGTCTCGCGCGCGCGCGGGTGAGGGTGGTGTGCGAGGCGCTCTTAACCGAGGGCGTGGAGACAAAGGCACTTGTGTTTGAAAGTAAAACAAAGGCGCGTCCTACATCCGCGTCTGTGAATCGCCCCGGCGAACATCCGCGCGCCGCCGGCAATAAGTACCGCGTGTAGTAGGTACCAGAAAACCTAATGCTTCATACGATCTTTTGTTTCCGCGTGGTTAAGCCACGGCACGAGGTGCGCTGGGGAGGTCGCGGCCGCGCGCGACAACGGGGTGTGCGGCGTCGGGGTGGCGTACGACTCGAAGATCGCCGGGATCCGGATGCTGGACCAGCCGTATATGACCGACCTGATCGAGGCGAACAGCATGGGCCACGAGCCCGATCTCATTGACATTTACAGCGCCTCGTGGGGCCCCACGGACGACGGGAAGACGGTGGACGGGCCGCGTAACGCGACCATGAGGGCCATCGTGCGCGGCGTTAATGAGGTACATACATGTTGCGTAATTACTCGCACGTGGGCGACCATTAGCGAGATTAATAGAATCACTGGTATATACGTATACGCATCTTTAACAGGAAAATCATTATCGGACGCGAAAGCTTTTCGTTATCAACTCTTGCGTAATAAAGGAGAGGAGATTCGAAAAAAATGTATCGGCGCTAATATAATAATTCGATTTTCGTCATCAACTCTTGCGTAATAAAGAAGAGGAGATTCGAAAAAAAGTGTATCGGCGCTAATATACATACATAATTCGATTGTCGTGAATAATGAAAATTATTCACCCTTTTAATCCAATTTCTTCTTGTACCTTGAGCCTAATAAATATCGATCCGTTATTAATTAGGAGAAATATCTCGGGAATAAAGAGAGCGGAGTTCAATTTTTATTTATTATTTTATCGTAAATGCACTGAAAGAGAAGAAAAAGATTACATTGTTTTCGCGACCGCTCATGTCGCTTGTTTGCTCGCGCGTTCCCACTAGGGCAGAAACGGATTGGGCAATATCTACGTCTGGGCGTCCGGGGATGGTGGTGAGGAGGACGACTGTAATTGTGACGGATACGCCGCGAGTATGTGGACCATCAGTATCAACAGTGCCATCAACGACGGTCAGAACGCGCATTACGACGAGAGCTGCTCCAGCACGCTGGCCTCCACCTTCAGCAACGGTGCCAAGGATCCTAACACGGGCGTCGTAAGTAGATCACAATAAGAGGATCAGGAAGAGGATTACCAAAAAGATTGTCCCTTCCTGAGGGTGGCTTTATTTCAAACAGAGAGACACGTTGCTACACGAGAAATGTTTTATTTATCGATGAAGAAAATGTATTCTCTCGGGCAGCGATCCCTCTTCTTTTATGTAAAATTTAAAAAATCTTTAAAAGGATGAAATCTGTACCTCTTTTTATTTATTTCGGAATGAACGCTTTTTTACAGGCCACCACGGACCTATATGGAAAATGCACGACGACCCACAGCGGGACGTCCGCCGCCGCACCGGAAGCCGCGGGAGTGTTCGCGCTTGCTCTCGAAGCCAAGTGAGTGTGATTTCACTTTTTGTTTTTAACAACTTTATTAATTCTGACAGCAGCGCGTAATATTTAATTTAAGTTTAATTATTACGTCGAACATGAAGGGCCTCCTCCCCCGCGTATGTGAATAAAAATACTCCATTTATTTTAGTTTTTATAGGTGAGGCTTTTATAGATGTTTTTATACTATTTAACGGCTTTCGCAAATGCATCGCGTGCGTAAATCTTAGAAAAGTTTTATGTGGGATAAAATTTTCCACCGATTACCGTTCGTGCTCGAAGGATATAAGAGCTTCCGTTTCTAGTCCGCAACTGACCTGGAGAGACATTCAGCACTTGACTGTCCTAACTTCGAAAAGAAACTCTCTGTTCGACGCGAAGGACAGATTTCATTGGACCATGAACGGCGTCGGGCTCGAGTTCAATCATCTCTTCGGGTACGGCGTCTTGGACGCGGGCGCTATGGTGGCCCTGGCTAAAAAGTGGAAGACGGTGCCGCCGAGGTATCACTGTGAAGCCGGTTCTACGTTCGAAACGCAGTAAGTAGTACAGCTTCGTGGAGTTTGACGATCAGAGCGATCTGATATAAACGCCACGATCGACGATGATGACCCAAGTGTTTCCGCGCTACGTCAATTTCGACATACGGGTTTTCCGAGCGATTTAACATCAATTTTCCTCTCAAATACAATCCGAACCATTTTTTTTTTTTTTACCTTTGCAGGAAAGTCACGAGCGATCGATCCATTCTCGTGAAGATTAAAACCGACGCGTGCGCCGGCACGGAGTACGCCGTCAATTATTTGGAGCACGTGCAAGCCGTCATTTCCGTGAATGCAACTCGGCGCGGTGATCTCGAGCTGTTCCTCACGTCGCCGATGGGCACCAGGTACGACGAACGTCATATTCCCGATCTGCAGATCTTTCATCGTGGAATAAAATAGATATAGACTTGATTTCGCTCGACTTTTTGCGTTGCAAGCTATAAATTTAATACGAGCCCAATATACGAGCCTGAGATGTGTACGTGCGATAACTTCAACAACGTTTTCTTCTTTCTCTCGCTACGTGCAAGTCGAACTTTTCACACACATACACACACGCTTCGTCCTTCGATCAATTCAACCCACGCTTTCCTTCCTTTATTCCTCCGACGAGAGAGAGTTTCTCCCTTCTCTCAATATTTCATCCGGTGTAAATAAATCCCCCGTAATTTTCAGATCTATGATCCTGAGCCGCAGAGTGAACGACGACGATCACAGGGACGGGTTCACGAAGTGGCCGTTTATGACGACGCACACGTGGGGAGAGTACCCGCAGGGAACTTGGTTGTTGGAGGTAAATTTCGTTTGCCCGTTCACTCCTACTCACGAATTTCGTTACGTCTCTCCCTCTTTTCTCCCGCGTCCACTTCCGCACTTGAGAGCATCGGGATCTTTTAGGTGAGCTTCAACACGCAGACGCCTCAACACGGTTGGCTGAAAGAATGGACGCTGATGCTCCACGGCACCAGGGAACCACCATACACGGGACTATCGACGGCGGACCCGCACTCCAAGCTGGCGATCGTCAAGAAGGCCCACGAGGAGCGGTTTAGCGCGATCTAACGACATCCATCACCACGGTCCACGCGATTATCGCCGATTTCAGCGAGGAAAATGGAAATATTCCGATCGGAAGATGTTTACGCGAGCGCTCCCTTACCGCTTTCCTGATTTCGCGCCGCGCAGCTGCAGGAGAATGTATACTCCGATTTTTTTTTAGATTCAGATTGCGCGCGCCGATCGCATTATCGTCATGTCCCGTGCCAATGTATCGTCATTCGTTATTCCAGCCGTGTTGACTTGTATTCGCATTTCAATCATCAGCAAAATCTGTATCCCTGGTACCTTTCATTACAGTCACAATTATCATTATAATTACATATCATGCCGTTTGTAACAAAGCTTGTATCGCGCGTTAAGAATGTGTATCTTTTATACAATATTCAGCACTCCAACTTTTTTTCTAAAAGCCCTGTTAGCGAAGAAAAGTCAAATCATTAGCATCTAACAAATCCAGCAATCTAACAAAAGGACGACTTTGGGAAATTCTGATATAAGACACGAATTGGATGTCTTATAAAATTAAATGTTTTTTAATAACATTGTTTGGAAAATTACATTTTCCGACGTGTCGAAAACTTTTGCGACTTTCGAAATTCTTCGTTTTAATGTTTTAATAGGCAGGTGCTGGGCACCGAGCGGAAAGAATTGAAAAAAAAAATTAATTTATCTGTCGCATGATGATGGATTAAAAAGATATGATCTAGAATGTTACAATCTCCGCTATAATCTATTTGATATTTACGATCTGTTGTTTTTAATTAGTGTTATTATTATTATTGTTATTAGCGCTAATTAGCTTCCGAGCGACACGCGACGCGAGTTACCGGAAGGTATTGTATTATTTTGTTGAAATTTGTGTCCGCGTTGACAGCTTTCCGAAGAGTTCTCAAGTCGACGAACGAAACTTGACGATTAGGGGAACAAGGGGGACAAGAAAAAAAAATTTACTATAATGTATTACTCAAATAGCAGAATAATAAAAATTACTCTTCTGACGGAGCGGTAAACTCGAAGCATTTAGCATTTTAGCGGACGTTATCGAATCGATAGCGCTTGCGAAAGAGTATCCCGGGAACAAGAGTTTCGTGTAATCATCGTCGTCCTCGCAGCTTGATGAATTATCCTTGTATCGATAAATCTTCATTTATTTTTTAATATGAAAGTTTGACTACGCAGATGCGTTAGATTAATTAGAGTGAGACTATACTTGCAAAATTATTTGTCAAGATAATGCGGCGTTGCTGCAACAAGTCAACGTCTGTTTCTTTGTTTCTTCTCTCTCTCTCTCTCTCTCTCTCTCTCTCTCTCTCTCTCTCTCTTTCTATATATATATATATATATATATAAAATTATTCCATTATTTAATTTCGATAAATATTTAGAATAATACATAGAGATTATCCGCTATTATTTTTTTCTCTTTTTTTTTTATCACCCGCATATATATTAAGACACGGGGGTGTTGCACACAGGATATTTATTTGACGACGTTCTGGAGAGCAGCGTGCACCACGGTGATTAAAAATCTATTTTCATTTGTATGATTCAATTAACAGAGAGAGCACACGACAGGGGGACACGCGAGGACGCCCGTGAGTGACACGAGAACGCGAAAATACGGATGCTACAAAATCCGCATGTGTAGATGATGTACCTTAGAAATCGTAGCGAACAGAGAGTTTGAGCATAAACATTAAATTATATGAATATAAAAATGCATATATAAATAAGGTATGTGTACATGTGTATGTACATGCGCGTATAGGGATGTTCCGTCACTGCATGTCGCGTTAGCCGCCGAAGGGACGGCTTCTTCAAATAATATCGAAATCGGTTGTCTCAATGCGGAAACACCGAGGCTGCCATACGCGATTGAAGCTATAAGCCGATCGCGCGGTGGCTAAAGTTTCGAGTTAACTCTCGATCATCGTCTTCCCGAAGACTTTAAGAAGCGACATCATATAGCTTCGCGTATCGAGACGTTCGTGCTCGAATTGTCTAAAGAGACCGTCGTTAAGAAGCTGACAGCTAGGCGCGCGACAGAGCGGCGGGACTCCCTATATAAACGTATACATATATCCTGCGTATATCTTATATACAGAGTGAGACGTCTAATTTTGCGACCTAGACGATCTCTGTTGTTCAAGGCACTTTTCGATAACCGCAGAGATAAACTGAGTCACGAAGTCGAGAGTTGCCCCGCCCTGTATATTTTATATATGTACGTCCCATTACATATATCTTGCAGTTGAAATGGGTTTAACCAACATTATTGTGTATGCGTTATAGGTGGAATGAATAAAATCTGTATTTTTTGGCTGGCATCGTTTTTATCTAGTGTACCTTCAATGCTACAAAATTTACTTACCAATTTCCTCCTTCCGCCACTTCTCTCTAGCTTTGCTTTCGTGTGACATTTAAAAGTGCGCGCGCGCGATTTCAACCAAGTTTTATTAATTCTTAACCGATTTCAATTCAATCAAAATTTATTCTTTAGTCTCGCTCTACAAATGTCAAACAATATGAAATTAATAATTCCCTATATTCATTCAATCAAATAACAATATTACCTGATAAATTGTTTCAATTAAGTTAATTAGAGTTTGTTCGAAGGTCGTCTTAAGACGTATCCAAAGTGAAGCGAGTAATGCGATACTTACCGATTAATTAAATTGTTATAATTAAATTTCGATAATTAAATTTTGCGTGATAGAAGCACATTTTTGCGTTGTCATACGTTTGCGTTGTGCTTGGTTAAATATTTAAAGCACGCGAGAGTGCTTATAGAGACAGAAAAGGATGCACGTAGAGGAAGGAAAAAAAACAGCGAGAGAATCGCGGGGCGGAAAGAAAGGGGTGGGAATGGGGTAGTTAGTGGGAGCGGGTTGCCGCTCCGTCCGAGTTCAGTCCGACAGTCCGCGTGTCACTGTTAACTCGGGGGGATCAACGGAGCCCGCGTACATCGCGTTCATTAAAATTTGCCAGACCGTACCTTTGAGAATTAACGTAGTAAAACGCCGAAACGTCAGTCTCCGTCGAAACGTCAATTAAATTTTGCACGACGCGTCGAGCACGTCATGTGCACGTCCCGTTCATTCGAGTCTAACCGCCCGATCGGAAGTGAAGTTCGAAGAAACGCGGCGAGTTTGTGCGAAGTTGCGAATCTCGATCGGTGCGTCCTGTCCTCCCTGAAAATTCTCGTAAGTGCGACTTTTACGTAAAAAGTATTCGGCTGTGAAATACACTGGTTTTGATTTCAGCAAGAAGAATTTTCGAATTTGACAGACAAAACTAAACGCTGCAGTTGCGAAACATTTTTTTTATTATTAGAGTTACAGCGCTCTTTAACAAACGCCTATCTTTGGAGATTTTTTATTTCTTTTCTTAAAATTTGAAATCAATAATTACTCAACACAGAATTTAACAAAAATCTTTTGGGGTGATCGATGTAACAAAGAATTCAATTTACCTAAGTAGTTTAGCATTAAATTGTCGAATTTTAATGTCGAACTTTAATGTGGCAAAAAATTTTGTTACCGAGTTGGAATGCAATTACAGAAGCGTTTTTATTTTAAATACTTTTACACAGAAGTTTCGCGTATACATGAAGTGGCAAAATGTACCCTCGGGACATCTTGTGTAGAGTAAAAAGTTGTACATAAAATTACAAAATATGTATACAACTTGTTCTTTACGACTTAGCGCAGTGTACGAAGTTTAAAAAAAAAAGAGAGAATGACGTAATTATAACGATAATCTTCAGGCGATAAGTCGCGGCCTTTGAAGGCGCGCCGAGGACGCGATTTCAAATCTAATTGCAACTTTCCGTGCAATTTCAGCCCCGAGGCGAGCTGCTCGTGGAGTCGACGCTCACCCGGTGAGAGCTGGTGCCGCGCATTCTCGCCGCTCAATCGTCATCCCCGTGCCGGCGGCGGGGATCGGCGGGGCGCCCGGGGGGCGCGGAACGTGGACGTGCGGCGGCCTCGACGCGGGTTCGTGATTTAGGGACAGGACGTACGGCGGGACCCGGCAAATGTGGCTCTGTGCACGGTGAGCCAGGGTTACGGGGGCCGTGCGGCCCGCGGGGCCCGTGCTGGTGGTGGTGCTGGTGCTGGTGGCGGCGGTGGTGGTCGTGGTGGTGGTGGCAGAGGTGGGGGTGGTGGTAGATTACGCGGCGACGCGGGCGCGCGGTTGCCCTTGAGCCCCCGCAATTTATGCGCCAGCGGGGCGGGCGGGGCGCGCGGGGGGGTCCACGGCAGCGGCGGCGGCGGCGGCGGCGTCGGCGGCGCGACCGTGGCTACCAGCGGTATCGGGGGCACGGAGGAGGTCGCCGCCGGTCCCGGGCTACCGGACGAGCCGATGGTGCACGTGGAGCGATCGGCGCACCAGGGCACATGGATATGCTGCGTGCCCTGTTACTGGCTGCGACGGAGCAAGGCCGTGCACAAGGCGCTGCTCACCTTCGCTATGATGCTGGTCACCAGCCTGCTGGTCACCAGCCCGGTGCTCTTCCTTATCACGACCTTGCCGGAGGGAGAGCAGCCGCGCAAATGTGCGCCATTGGTGGGTGCTCCTGTACAGCTCCGCCGTTATAACGATCGTTTTTCCTCTTCCGTGTATCCGTCACGCACGAAACGCGAGCGGAAAGGAGTGGATACGTGGGGGCGGTTTCGGGGATTGAATCCGGGGATTATATCGGTGAAATCAGTTTCCGATGCGCTGGAGACATGCAGTGAAAAAAAAGAATTCTCTGTCGTGATTTTGCGCACGTATGTTACAAATACGACGTGATTGTTGGGCTTCCATATACATCCAGATTTGCGCGTTCGACGAAATTGCACCGAAATTATTTTATTTTCTAACTTTTAATTTTTAATTTTTAAATAAATATCCACCATTCAAAATATCTATACCACAGGAGGGATGTCCTGTTCGCAGAATATCTATATTCTTTAGCCGAGGCTCTTCGCGAAGGAAACATGTTTTCCCACAAAATTTACGCGAGAAACTACTTTATGCTCGAAACCATTCATCTTCCTTACTTACTTGCGTACGTGACGTCGTCACGCGTATAGAAATAGAATGCAAACACGTATCACACGAGAGCCTGTTGAAAAATTAGTGGCATAAATCGCCACTGAGATTGTAACGAAGGGGAGACGTGTCCCGCGAGCGCACGGGAGGGTATTGCTGGCAAAACGTGCGAGGCGTGTGACGTGACGCGAATAAGTAATCGTCTTACTTATGCAGCATGGAAGATTAGTAGTTGTGGCCGAAGTAATTTATATCGATCGTAGACTTAAACTTCGAGGTGAGAAAGGTGAGGAAAGTCGGCGTTTAGCAATAAGCGCGCCGCCGGGATTCCCGTAATCAGGGGAAATCGCTTGCCCTTGCGCCGTAAATTTCGCTCTCGCGAAATCACAAGGGAACGATCGCAAATTGAAAAGGTAGAAGAGGTGAGAATCGCGATTCAATCGCAAATTCATATTTCGTTTCCCTTCGCGCGCGTGAAGTCACGAAATAGTATACGACGAAACGGAAAGCGCTTGCGATAACTCGGCGATTACTCGAGGTACGATTACACGTACGCCAATAATATGCGCCGACATAAAGCGAAGCCGTATTGGTAGGTAAGGTTTCGAGACGAATAGCTCATCCTCGGCTGAGGTCAGGGCTTTACCTCTTATTCTGACCTTTATTATACCCATGTTCTTCGAGATCGCGTTTGAACGCGAGCGTTTGATTGACAAACTGCATCGTTTTTCTGACAATCTGTCAGAAAAAGGCTCAAAGGCTAATTAACCATTTAGAAAATACAGAAAGTAACAAGGTGGCAGAAGATATTTTACTTTTATACTTGTACAGAACAATAGATTAAAATTTGGAAACTTGAATAACTGGACGATTTAGGACCAAGAGATAGGCATCTTGTCTCAAGGAATATCCAAATCTGTTAAAGTTTAAGGCTATAATGACTGCGATTTCAGGATGAAGCCTGCGTCAGGGAGCGAGACGGGCCCGAGGGTGTTTGCGACACGGACATTTGCGTGGAGGCCTCGAAGAGAATCCTAACGTCGATGAAACGCGGCGTCGATCCTTGCAAGGATTTTTACAGGTTCGCCTGCGGCGGTTTCCGCGATCGGCAGCCCTACCAGCCGAGCGCGAGCTTCAACATGCTCCAGACGCAAATCGACGAGCGTATACACAGTGAGCTTTTTGTACAGTTTCTCCACTACTTTTTCACGGCTTCCCTCCCTCCCCCCTCCCCCCCTCCCGCCGCCTGTGCCCGACTTCTTCCCAATTTTAAGAAATTTCAGACGTTAACTTTGCAAGTCTCAATCGTCAACTTCAATTGCTTCATCGAAGCGGAAAATACGATCGCGTTCCTGTTTCATCTTCCTTTGCCACGTTATGTTTCAATCTCTCTCGGCCCAGTGAATTTATATGGCCTCATTAAAACGGAATATACACTATTTGTCCGCTCAGTTCTCAATGGGATAATGTAGCGTAATATCTTTCAACAATTATGTGAAACGCAGCATTTCTCGCGGAAAAATAAATGCGCGCAATTTGCGGCGTGATTAAAACAAGTGTCTGTTTTGCATCAGAAACAAGATTAAAAGAGCTAACTTTCCGTCATAGAAAAAAATCGCGCTTAAATGGATCAGATGATTTTATTATCGCTGCACATGTGTGTACTACGATAGAACTGGAGTAGCATCTGTGCGCAAAAAAAAAGAACCTCAAAGTCTCTGTAGAATTTTTTAATACAAAATTTTGTTGAAATTCATCTACAATTCTTTCACAATTACATTCGACGATTCTAGAGAGTCCATTGAATATCGAAGCATTGTGTGACGATAACGACGGTATCTCGGCAATCCTATCGATTTTCTTTGTCCTCTTTTCATCGCGATTATTGCAATCTTCGTGCCGACGAGGGAAAGCTGCAAAAAAATCGGGGGGGGCGGGGGGGCGGAAGAAGGGAAGAGAACCGGATTCGCGGGTGAGAGACGGGTGTAATTGGCGACATATTAATCTCCAATGCCAGAGACTCAAAGAGCCCGGGGATAGCCCGGACAGAGGGAACACGACCTCAATTTGGTAAGAATCTATCGTGGACACGATAGTGGTGGTGGCGGCGGCGGCGACAGTGATAGTGGTGTTGGTGTCGCCGACGCGACTGGCGCCGAGCGACTGGCACCAACTATGCTCGCGTATGGATCGCCGCGTCCCCGGGATAGCATAAGTTGATTCGGGGGATCGAAACTTAAAGGGGAGATGAATAAACATCTTTTGTGACGTCGGGAGCGTGGATCGAAAAGCTCGGCGCTGTCTCGATCGTTTAGGGGACGAGCGCGAGGGACGAACGCGTAAACGCGTGACGCGCACGAAGCCGCAGGGTCATCCGGAAGTCCTCGACATTGGCACGCTCGCGTCCGTCCCCCGAAAGAACGGGGGAAACGAGCGTAGGAGGAATTCGTTTTCGTTATCGACGAAAAGTTATCGGGACTCTCTGATGCGAGGCGAAATCGAACGGCCGACTTGGCCGTTACTATAAATAATGCACATTAATCGATATACGTACGTGTATTATACACGTGTGTTATGCCGGTTGCTTATACCGCCCGGCTCGGAGAAAACGCCTCTCTCTTTCTCTAAACGCCTCTCTTACTTTTACGCAACCTTCGAAATGCTATTCGCGTGATTCAAGGTCGGCGAATTACCCCCGGCGCTTAATCAGATCATCTGCGAGATCTCTAGCCGCTGTTTGTGCCTTACCCTTTCCTTTCCCCCCTAAGTTCAACTTTCTTCGTGAGCACGGTAACGACGTTTCCTTCCAGGAAATCATCCTAATCGCGAGACATTATTGTTTTAGAAACGCTGACAAACGAGACGGGGCAAATGGTCGTTGCCTTCGAGAAGCTTGGGCAGTTTTACGATGCCTGTCGGGACTTTAAGAGGAAACCCGTAAATTTTACACGGTAAAAAAAAAAAATTGTTCACGATAGTTCGGCTCACGAACGGTTAGCTGATATTGTTAACTCGCCCTTTTATTATTAAATCGTATGCATAGTTTGTCACACGAACAGTTATAGCTGATACTGCTAACTCGCTTTTATTACTGAATCGTATGCATTAACGCTCTCGGACTTTTTAATAAAAGTCGAATATTTACGACTCAATATAAAATAATTTAATGCAAACAGTCAGGTATCGTAATTTTTTTTATTATTAAAGCATTAATTAACATTCGATAGACATTCATTAATAAGAGTCAGATGAGGAGTCAGATCTGAAAAATTTTTCAATAAATTCTTTCGTTATTCTAATTTTGATAAACCGAATAAAGTTCATTTTAGTTAAGTACGTGCCCCACTGATATTACCGTACAAAGTACGCCGATATAAGGATGTTAATGTTCCCTCTTTCAGTTTACGAGCTATTGGACGAACTCGGCGGCTATCTACCACCGAAAAGCGTGGTGCCGGACGACATCACCCCTCTAATCTCCGCATTGCTGAAAGTAAACGGCGCTCCCCTCTTCGACTTATACGTCGACGTAGATCTTTACGATCGCACAAAGTCATCCGTATATCTTGATTTTCCTGCCAAGCACGAGAATTATGAGTTTCTCGCAGAGGACCAGGTAAGGACCGTTCGACAATCGCGATTCCTGACTCGACATTTTACACGGTAATTTAAAAAAAATATATCCGCGAATTTATGTCCCTTCAATTCTCAGCGCGTTTTCGCGCGTTTCTTTTCTTTTTAAATCCTGCACGTGTTCCACGTATAAACTTGCGATATTTTTTTTTTCCAGAAAAACAGAGACGTACAAAGATCGCGTAGAATTCGAGAGATTGTCCGAGGATTCTTGCCAAAAGATATGGATCCCGAGGAGCAATCGTCGGAGACGGATCTGCTTTTGCAGTTTTGCTTATCGCTCGAGAAGGTGAGGGCTCTATCGCCGCCGTTTTAACGTAAGTTAAACCAACGATTAAAGTGCGTGTGCGTTATCGCAGATTTATCCGAAGCACAAAGACTTGTACAATTGGGTGGACGTGGAACAGCGGGTATACGTCGCTTACAACGTCACTTATCTCCAGGAAAACTTTGGTTACGTAAGTACCGAAACTCGACTACCGGGGCTCTTCTATATAAGCCGCAAAAACTGCACGAAATTCCGCTAACGTTCTATCGTTAGTAAAACAGACACGTGAGCAACTTTCTGTTGCAAACAACATCAATAGCCAATTGGAGCCGATCGTAAACAGCGATTCCGAAGTTTAAATCTAATTTACGATCATATTATTGGCTCGTTTATTTGGATTACCCTTATACCCTTATTTGGCTCGCAGTTAAGCCCCCTCGTTTCTTTCCCCGGTCTTTTAATCATCGATCAGTCTTCTCCTCTTCTCTTGATTTAATCGCAAAAAACTTCCTTCCCTCTGTCAAAATAAAAGAGGATTATTTGATCTTGACGATCCTGGGACGTACAGATAAGATGGAGATCGCTGCTGAACGCTACGTTACGCTACCGCGCGAACGGCGACGTCGAGCTGCACGACGACGATAATAACGACACGAATCGCGTGCAACGACCGCCGACATACGTCGCATCCGAGGACCAGCAAATTTACGTCTACATCACGGCACCACGTTACTTTCGCAGCCTTGGCAAGCTACTGAGTCGCTCCTCCAGACGGTACGGATCTTTCATGTTCATTGTGATTTCGCATCGCGTAACGATTCGCGCGCATCTATTATATATCCATTTGCAATACGAAGCCGAGTCCTTTGCCGAGCCGTCTAAGCTTTCTCTCTATCTCTCTCTTTGCAAAGGGGTTGTGAAGTGTGAACGTCGATAATGGGACGTCAATTCGGAAAGAATTGATTTCACGATAGGGCTAGTTGGGGAAAAGCCGAGGGAATCGATATTCCGCGATGCAATATAGAGTAGCGGAATATAGCGTGATTTGGTCAACTTAACGAAAAAAATAACCAAAATTAGCAAAAATTAACACGTCTATTCAGTTCTATGTCTCATCAAAAATGAGCTAATACAATGACAATTTAATGACATAAACGACAACTGTCTAGTGCGAACTGCAGCGCTCAAAAAATGTTGTTGACCAAATTACGCTACTTTACCCTACATGATATTGCGAATCATGCATATGTTATAATATACATTAATTAATGTTTAACTAATTAACTATTATGTATATTATTACAATGTATAGTATTAATATTTAATTAACGTTTAATATTTGTTTATTATTCATTAATATATAGATAATTATATGACTCGCTCGAGACGTTATATATAACAATATCTCGTATCTATCGATTATCCGGTCATAATTGTAATAAGTTACGGAATAATGCACGTGTACCTCGCATATTGATTACCTTAATTGTAATAAATCACAAAGGATTATTCATAACGGATTGCTGTTGCTCTACGCGACGGACACGTTGCACGACATCGCGAACGTCACCGCCGTCAAGGACTGGGAAGCCTCCTGCTACAGACTGACCAGACGCGTCTTCGCCGAGGCGGTCAGTGCGCTCTACGTGCGGCAGTACGCTCCAAAGTACTTAGACACTCTGGTCAACAGGGTAATACTTCTCGTCCAGCGATTTCGACCCTTTAACCGTCGGTCGCGATAATTTAACAACCCAGCAAACGAAAATGACTTGAAATGGATAGAAATGAATTCGTTTCGACATTTCCGAATTGGCGCTTCTGATTTTTCGAATACATTTGAATCCAAAAATAATATAATACGGACATGAATACATCCGAATTCAACACGATGAATAGCTCATTTCACGCGCTCGGCTGTAAGAATTTCGGCTCTCGAGAATTCTGTATTTCAATTTATTTAAATCCAAAAATAATATAATAGGATGCATCTCCGGATTCTAAACCGCCAAGTCGGATAAATTAAAATAAATTGCAATTTTCAATTCATTTGAATTAATTTTCGTTCGCTGGAAACTTCAACTATGAATAATCTCGACGCCCGAGCGAACGTGCTTAAAACCGTTTGCTCGAGCGTTACACAGTCTCGCATGTAATCTACAGTTTTCGAAGTGTTCAAAACGGTCAAAGGGTTGATCTTTGTCGTGTAAACTCTCGCCTTGATTTAGTAATAATTACATTGTTACTGCAGGTGACCGCGCTGTTCGAACGCGTGAAGGAAACAATAGCCGAGCGTGTGTTAGTGAAGTCGTGGCTAGATGACGAGACCAGGACGCAAGCGTTGCAGAAGCTGAATTCCTTACGGGGCCGGTTTCACGTGTCGCCGGATTTCTACAACGACAGCTTGCTGGCACGCGAGATGGCCGAGGTAAGATAATTATTTTCTTTTAAACACAATATTAATAAATATTGACTTATATAACGACGCGATTAAAAACGGAAGAAATAAATTTCTCGCCTTTTCGTAGAGCAGAAACGTGGATCTAATTTATAATAACGAAACGACGTAAGCCTTACAATTATCCCTTTTATCGGTATTCTTAATCGACGTTGTCTCGTAGGTCGTAATCGACTCGGATGACTTTATCGCCACCGTTCTGAGGAGGTTCCGTCAGCTTCGCGAATCAGAGGACCGGAGCCCGTTACGAAAAAACGCAATAATAAGGTGAGGCAAACTTTCATTCAGCCAGAGGTCCACAAATCGTAAGATAAAAATGAAAAATGAGCTGAATAATTCTGAACTAAACAAACATATCCTCTCGTTTCTCTCGTCATTTTTTCTATCATTTTTAAAAATAAATTTTATATATGTTAAATTATTAATATAGCTAGAAACGAGAGAACAACTCGCGTCAGCTTCATTCCCTTCGAGATCTAAATTGTAGATTTATGCTTTTAGACGTCACTACCCTTACTCCGTGCACGCCTATTACGAATCCTCGACAAACACCATTGGTAAGTATTACTATACGACGCGCGTAAAATCAAAGTGGGGCAATTTAAGTAAAGTTGTCCTTGTTAAAAAAAAAAATGAAAGGAATCCCGTTGGCGATAATGACATCCTGGGCATGGTCGTGGGACGGTGGACCGGCTTTCGCGGTACACTCTACGCTAGGATCGGTCATCGCCCACGAGATCCTCCATGCCTTCGACTTTCATCATCGTAGACTGCCCGTGGAGCCGGCACGGAACGTCGACGAGTGGCTTCGCGTCACGCCGGACTCCTGGAAACGACTGGAGACCAGGATAGAGTGCGTCGCGCGACTCTACGCCCGGAGCTTCTGGCGGAAGGTCCAGTCTTACGGGAACGACGTGCAGGTAGATTTACGCGCGTTCTTCGAGACGATACTTTCGCGATCCTTTCATTAAGAACGAGAAACGGAACGTCTCCCTTCTTTCACCCTTAATTTTGTCGCGCAGTTGGATTGGAATATAACGAAGAACGAAAACGTCGCGGATATCGGTGCTCTGCAAATCGCCCACAAGACCTGGCACACTTTGACAAACGGGAAGGATCGGAGCCTCCCAGGGTTGGAGGGACTCCGTTCGAGTCAGCTCTTCTTCATAAGTGCCGCACAGGTAACTCGTTCCCTTTCTCAAATATCCTTTTTATGAATTTACTTCGATAATTTCTATTTTTATTATATATATGTATTCATTTTGTATTTTATGCGTTTGACTTCAGATATGGTTTTTTAAATTTATAATTATCATAGCTCCTTAATTTTATTATTATATTTTCATGTAATTTATTGAGACTGATAAAGACTAACAATAAATAAAGTCGAAACGTTTTCCCATCTTTAATATTACGTGTCATTTATTAATTTATTTTACATTTTTATGTGCTCGTCTTTGACCACATATATAATAATTTTTGCATATATATATATATGTGTGTGTGTGTGTGTGTGTGTGTGTGTGTGTGTGTGTGTGTGTGTGTGTGTAAAAATTATTATATATGTGGTCAAAGACGAATTATATTATATTAATTTTGATGCTTATTTAAATTTATAATAATGTCATGAAAAGGAACTACATCGACACCACTGCTTTTAGGTACACTGTGTTAATACAACTCTCGAGGCCTTCGTTTTCTCCATTGAATTAGACTATCGTGCTCCTCATCCTGAAAGGTACTTTTCTTTTTTTTTTCTGATTTGTGCAATCTTCTCATAAAAGAAACGTAAGGGGCAACGATTGATTACATACACGATTTGATTTCCAGAGTCAACAATGTAATGATGAATTCTCAGGCGTTCGTAGATGCGTTTCGCTGTCCACTCGGAGCGAAAATGAACCCCCCGAATAAATGCACTGTTTGGTGATCGTACGCATTCGTCGGATATACGAAATATATAAGTATGTCGAGATTTGTATAGCAGGCTGCCACTTCGCTTTATTTTACTTCGCAACTACAATATCGTAAAGATCACTTCGGCATCATCGTAGTGAAAATTAATGCTACAGGGATAGACATTTACTCCTTTACGCAAAAACTAAACTAATAACGACTTAATTCATTAAAGACCATAATTGCAATACAAATTTAATCACGAATTTTCTTCTTTCGAAAGAGGTATCAGCTTTAATACTAAACTCATTCAATAATTCTTATTGATCTTACGCTTAAATAATCGCATTCTCTTCTTGAAATCTTGCCTTATAAATTAGATTTAAGATAAAAGAGAATAAAGTCTTTTGGCACTCGTTCATTACTTAAATATTTGACGGACGTAAAAATGTAAGTACAAGTCAAGTAAATTCTAAAATAAAATATGTCGTTATTAATAAAATTTATTTTTAAAAAGATAAAAAAATTAAGATAATTGAAAAAAAAAATTAGTTTGATATTATTCAATAAACTTAAATTTTGTTTCAAAAGTGAAAAGTTAACCGTTAATGAGTAACTTCCAGGCTTTCAATTGCTATAATGAGCTTCATATGATAAATCCGTTTGAAAATAATCGTCGCTTTTTTAATATCGTTATGTAGAATAAGAAGAAACACGTGATATCTAGTGTATCTCTTTATTTTTGGTAGTTTCTCTCTAGAATTCACGAAAGAATTATTAAATTTAGACTCTAAAAAATCCGCCCATGATGCTGTGAAAAAACTTGTTGTTGAAAAATAAATTGTAGCTATTTGTGTCGATTTGAAGCGACTAGCGATGGCTTGCAAGCTATTGCAATCAATTACAACGAATTGTAAAGATCAATTTATATTTGTAATAAATTATAACAAAATGTAATAATATGTAAGTGAGATAAGGAGCGAATAGATACAAACAGATTGATGGTCTCCGATAATGACGTTAACAACAAAAATTGGGTTTACATACGATAAGCAATTACATATAACGCATTAAATTATTAACGTCAATATGTTGCTATCGATGCTGTTGATAAAAATGTTAACGAAATATTATATATTGTTGTTTACGGTGCTGGGAAGTATAATATATAGAATTAACATATATGTACGATAGGAATAAAATCTGTGATATATAAATATTATATATATCAAATATTTCCTTGAATTCCTGACAAATCCATTTTTTGTTGGTAATGCCAGACACCATCGATATAACAAAAATAAGTTTATAATGAAAATATATTTAAGCACTTTGCTTTAGTTGAACGAAGCTCCAGAGAGGAGATGGATCATGTATGCCGATTGCTTGCCCTTGAATTGTTAATAAATTTATCGCAAGCAGTAAAACAATTACTAAATGTATCAAACGAAATGTGTTTTAACTACAATATTTGGCGACACACTATCTGTTCCATATTCTTTTAATTTTTTATATTAAATAAGACAATGAGTCTTAGAAAATAAGTGAAAAGGATAAAAAAACGGATATATGATTTAATGTAGAAATAAAATTCGACTCTTATTAATTCTATATATTCAAATATATAAATTGCGTAAATTTAATACATATATTTATATTTTTCCGATCGGAATTTTAAGATGGTGTCGCAATATAGAAACAAAATATGAAAACGAAGGGTATTATCACAATAAAGTATCATAAAAACCAAATATTTGTATAAAAAAGCTTGTATTTTGTCTTTTATTAAAAAATTAATTAATAGCAAAAAATTAACACATTATAAATGCTGATTTGCACTTTATAATAACAATTGCAACAATTATAATATAGTTACATGTTCAGTTAGTGCTTTGTTCAAATGCAAAATAATTACACTTCATATTGCGCTAAGTATTACACACTTAATATTAGTTTGTTTACATTTAATGTCAAAGTACAGGCCATTTATTGCATAGAGAGACTTGTTTTGTATAACAAATAAATGATTAGAATGTTACAATTGTGCTATTACATTGCACAATATAATAAAAAAAATAAAAATATGTATTAAATTTAACGCATAAAAAAAATAAAAATTTTAAATATGTAAAAATATCATATAAATAATTGTAATATACATATATAACACAGAAAAATTAACTTGTGACTCAAGTGAGATCACTATAAATGTAAATAATATTGAATAATTTAACGTATTATAATATTAATACTTATATACATATATATATACATATATATATATATATATATATATATATATATATATTAATACGTTAAATTATGCTAAGTCATTTTGCAAGTTTATCTTTGCAGCATTTTGTAATACAATTGCAAACTATTGTTTTTTAAATGTACATACTTTTTGTTTTTCTCACAGATAATACTAAGGATATATATTTAAAAAAAAGTGCTTTCTTAAGCAAACTATAAAAATTGAATTAACAGAAAAATACTATACCATCATTTTAAGATAAACTTTTAGCAACAAGCCAGCTTCAATCATGTTTAAATATTGTCAAAATCAATTTTACCTGTTCTTGCAGATTCTATGAATTTTATGTGCTTATCGTACGGGCATCTGTGTTTTATAACAAATGGCTGGTTTTTCATTCCATCTACCCATTCCATCTGAAACAGAATGGACAATGATTAATAATTATTTCTCTTGAATATGAATGGTAAAATTCATTGCAAATCCAAATGTAATTTCGCGTTATATAAAAGAATTATATTAATATTTTGTTATAAATGTACACAAAAATATATATAAAATAAATTTAAATGAGTTTTAAGGAAATGTTGCTATGTGAATAAGTTTTCATGAACAAAATTTTAGAATTTTAAAGAGTTGACAAATTGCAAATTGCTGTAATTAAGCACACTATTTACTTACAATACGGGGGAATCTCTCTTTGTCAACATTCGCACGCTGTTTGTTAAGTATAATCAGACCCTTTGCTAGATCAAACCAAGGCCATATTAGAATGTCCAGTATATTTGGATTGCTCCCTAAAACAAATGGTACAAATCTTATGACGATAAATATTGTATTTATTTCAGTCGAAAGTGATCGAAAAAAAAAGTTAATAGTTAGATTAATAATAGGAGGATGTATAAAAAAAAGGAAAGTAGAAAAGAAATGGAAAATAAGAGTAGATATGTACAAACCTCCGAAAAAGGTTGTCTTGCGTACATCAAGCTCATCTTCAAATTCTTGTATGTTTTCCATGATCTCGGTGAGAATATCTTCGAACTGTCTATTGTCCTTCTGAAATACGCAATTCGTAAAGGTGTCTACAATCTGCAACAAACATGACACAATTATTAAAAAATTGTTTCCAGGACGGGAAAAGATCAGATCTCGACGTCATTAGAAGCACCTTGGAGTTGAAGTGATTTAACAGCTCCAAATCACGACTCTTCGTCTCATCGTTGTACAGAGGAGGCTCGGGGTATTTCTCGTCCAGGTAGTTCGCCAGTGTGACAGACTCCGCTACTACTGTACCGTCCGAATCTATGTAAATCGGTACCTTGCCATCGGGATGAAGCTAAAAAATATTTTCGTGCACGGTAAGTAATATGGTCCGCATTCGACGGACGAAAACTCTTTATATTTGAGTAACATTATGTCTTTTGAAAATAACTCGATACTTACTTGGACAAACCATTGCGGCTTCCTCTGCAAGTTGATATTGACAATGTCGTGCGGGATCTCCTTAAAACTGAGCACGAGGCGTGCTCTTTGAGCGAAGGGACAATACGCCATGCTGAACACACGTCCCTGGCCTTCCACCTCCGGTGGCTTCTCCGAGCCTAGAACGAAAAATTAAGTTCTCTCAGAAAAAACTCGACATGACATGAGTCCCTATCGATAGACACTGTGCGACACAATACATGACAGATACTCTATTCATACAAACGTTTCTGTAAATACTTTACTTTTGTAAAGAAATCTCCTCTCAGGTTTTCAGCTGAGCACAGGTTCAGCTGTCACATTACTTACCATCTGCCAGATGTAAGGAGCTCATTCCGAAAATCCTTCCAAGAACGCGGCTTGTTTGCAAATCGTTAAGGCGCGGCGTAGCCACTATATAATCCTCAATGACAAGTGATGACAGGGCTCCCAGGGTCATAGATATAGTTCCGATAAGAGTAGTTTTACTCGCGCATGCGCGACGGCGATTGCGCGAAAACGGCGACGTATAAATTGCTGTATAAATAAAAGATATAGAGAGTAGAGAGAGGACATCGGCGATTATGTCAATAAGAGGAACGGCGCACGATTGCGGAGCATTTAATTTTATTTCCTTACAAAGGTACGCGTTCAACATATCAAAGTACAAGACATATCTTTTTTTTTTTAATAAAAAAAAAGGAAGTGTACATTTCCCACGTCTACTTGTATTTAAAATTACTAATCCTACGCACTTCAGACCGACCAGGGAACGCCTTCGTCCAGAAGCAAAGAGGTCGGCATCCGTTTCGTTACGATAAGCTAAATTACACGTCGCGCGCAAGGTCGTCCCCGCAGGTACAATTGTGTCTTACGACGTATGGATCTCGTCTATGTTTATGTGAGCGATGAAACGCAGCCTCATCTGCAACGCCGGCCTCAATCTTCGTATGATGCACTCCACCTCGTTTTTCGTCATATCGCCAACAAACATGTACTTGATGTGATATCTGTCACAATTATTAAGGAAGATATTAAAGAGTGCGAAAGGTCTCTCGATAAATATACTAGAAATCGAGATTCTCTCGAATTGAGTCAAATTTTATGTAAACTGCTGCTACTCGAATTTATGTCTCATATCCAATACTTAATCGTCCTGATAGATTAAAAATAAACGATAATTAAGAGAAGTGTTTTTAAATTTGTGCAACTTAACATTGTACACAAAGGATACAGTAAATCGCAAATCGGATCCATGTAATTCAAGGTAGTTTGAGTGTGGTCAACTCGTTCCAGCATCTCGTACAGGCAGACTGCAAGCTCGACCACGCAATGCGGCCGCTCCGCGTTAAACCTCGCCAGAGTAGGCCCGATTAGGTGGCAGGCGTATATTAATTGTTCCTCGCTGGTTACAACCGGCTGAAGTTTTTCTTTGATAAACCTGAAAAAAAGCGATTTGCTTACCGTTAGCTCATAATAGATAAGATAAATATAAAATAGGTGAATGGATAAAATAGATGAATATAAAATAGATAAAATAATGTACGATAAAATAAATAATATAAATTTCCGTTTCTAATAATGTCAATTTTGTCTAAATTTCCTTTTATGATATACAATACTATATATTATATATCGTTACTTATAAATATATGTATATTTATAGTCACAACTTACTGGGGCATCGTCGTGATCTGCCCTACGCCCGCATGATGCCACACGGAGTGCGCTAATGCGAGCATGTAGCTGTACTTGTTTTCTAACAGACTGTTATGCGTAATGTTGAAGTTAAACATTTGAAACGGCGTCAAGTTGTTGTACTGCCAATTGACGAGGCCGGGGCTGCTGATGGTCTCCAGCAAACGTTTGTGCAACGCTGACCAATAACATTCTGGTAAGGCCGCCAGTAGTAAACCAACGCAATTTATCCACAAATGTATCTCGTCTCTGGGCACAAAGGTGTATCTGAATGGAGCACAAATAATAAACAAAATTACGTGGCAGTTGAGTGTATCGTTCTAAAACAGCAGAATCATCAGTAAATTCGATCGTGTCAATGTAAAGATGGAAAAAGCAAACGATACCCTTTGGCGACAGTGTCCAGTAAAAAGTTAGCCACTGCATCTGGAGCAACTGGAAGAGCCATAAGTTCGACGCAGGTCACGTACAATGCATGCGCCGCTGGATTTGGGAATTCGTTGAATCTCCAATCGGTAGCGGGGAAATGAGCCGTGCCGGACATAGCTTTAACACGCATACGTGATCAATTAGTAAATTAATAAAATAAGTTACTCTCTAATATAACTCGTGGATTGCTTTTTTTGTTAAAAAAAAACTCCAACTCCATCAAGAAATTTGTAAAATTAAAAATAAATACGGAGAAAGAATTTAGCATTTGTGCCATTATATATCTTTTTAATTTTTAATAAATATATTAAGACTTTTTTTAGAATTTATTGATACTCATTTAATTTTTTTCTTAAACTTGTAATAAATTTCTGACTCATCTTCATTTTCAATAGAAATTTCAATTTTCAAAACGACTTTGTAAGAGTAATAATTTACACCTCTATAATAGTTTGTATTACAATCAATGTAATAGTAAGGAAAAATGTGAATCGTCATATGATACAAAAGTCTTGGTTGGCTTACTTTCTACGATCCTTTGTACAAGACGAACGTAGTACTCCAATTCCGGTACCCAAGAGATTGCATCGTCATTGAAACGTGTCATATACACTTGATAAGCCTCGGAAAGCGCCCATCCTGGCGCTCGGATTTCCCGTAACGATCCCAAAACGGCGGATACCAATCGACGCTTTAATAAAGGCCGATCTCGCAACTTCTTTTCGTAATAATGCAATGTATTGTAAAGATACGTGACAGGTCGATCTGAAAAGCATAATTACCTTCGATTAAACGAGATTTAATCAATCCATCGAAAGAGAAATGTACTCTAGTTCCATTATAGAAAAAAAGAGGATAAATTTTAAAATAAATTTAAATAATTTATATCAATTTTGATGTCATTTACGGGATAATACGTGGACTCCGTGTAAAAATGGATATGTTTTCATAACAAGTTGATTTTAAAAATTAAAAATTTTTAATGAAAGAATATGAAATTGTTGCAGTAATAAAATTGTGACTCGTAATATTACAGTGCACAATAGGAAAAGATCTTCTTTCCGTCTTATTAAAATCAATAGTTGTACGTTCATGTTTAGTGAAAATAAACACATACCGTGAAATTTGTATAAGCAGCCCAAATGTTCCAGTAGTATTTCCAAACTCTTGATAACGGGCGGTATCTCCAGGTACCGGTGCACCACTATGTCGAAAACCGGTAAGAAACGGAGGCACACATTCCCGAAGTACACGGGCAGATTTTGATACTGATTGGGTCCGCCGCTGGTCTGCTCCATAATGCCCTCCGGGGCAAACTTTTCCGGGAACTTCCTGTGGAAGGCGAGATGCTTCTCGTGCCAATTCGATTGCTTCCAATGCTCCGGCGAGTTCTCTTTAACGAACTCCTGCACACGATTCCTAAATTCCGCCGCTTTCAGCAACAACAATTGTATGATGAAGAAGCACACTTGGGCCTCATTGCCTTCTTGAGTTCTCAACGCGAGGCAAAGTACAAGCCTGTCGATGGTCACTATGTTGTACTTCCAGATCATGTCGTTAATAGTGTCCACGCACTTGTTGACGTGCTGGCCGCCGACGCTGTTGGCAAACTCGAACACCAGATAGTCGCAGAACTTCCTGAGATGGGCCGACAGCGCCCTCGCGCCGATCCTCTCGAGGATCTTGTACGCGATGGGACTGATGCGATCGGTCTCGAGTATCATTTTCCACAGGAGGCACAGGAACAGCGGCGGCGTGCCGGGGACCGAGAAATGCGCGATGATGTCATTCTCGTTGTTCATAGACGCCCAATTCCTGTACTCCTCCTCGACCGCCTTCTTTATCTGCTGCTTGTTCTCCTTCGCCACGCTGTTCTGCTGGAAGAACTCGCTCAGCACCGGCGGGAAGCACTGGAGGGTGTGATTGGCCCACGAGTGCGGCGTGTTCTGCATGATGGTGTTGAGCAGTTCCTTGCACCACGTGCCGCTGAGGCTGTCGGCGCCGGTGCCGGTCACGTGCATCGATCGCGCGAGCGTCAACACCAACGCTCGATTGAGTTCCTCCGATTCCGCGGACACGAGAGTCTTCGGCTCGGACAGGAATCTGGACAGCTGCGGTTGCACCTCGGCGGAGCCCAGGCCGGTAATGAGGCGCAGGGCCGTGCTCTCGACACACAAATGAAGCTGCGTCTGGTTGGTCTGCGGTACCGCTGCTAGGCTGTGCAGATGCGACAGCAGCTGTACCCTGTAATGCGGCTGGATGTGGTGCATCCTGTAACTGAACATTTCCAGGAGCGTGTACAGCGTTCCCCAGGCATGCGACTTGAACACCGTCGGCAACAACTGGCTGATGAACCCTTTAATGCCGAGACTCTCGATCTCCGTGTACACCAGCAGCCGGCTGTAGGTCTCCACCAGTGCCGGCGCTAGTGCCATGTTGCTCTTGGACTGCGCCAACTTGATCACGTGCGTGACGATGCTGTGGATCAGGCTCATCTTGGAGTGCACGGTCAAAGAATCCAAAATTGACATCGAAAGCGGCGTCGTCGGGCCGTTCGGCAGCGCCGCGTTATTTTGCAGCGTCTGCATGGGTTGCTGCTGCTGATTCTTTTGCGTGCCCAGAATGGTGTCCACCAGCGCCGCCATCGGTCTGCTGAAATACTCCTGGTTCGTCGAGTACGCGTTGCACAGGAGCGCAATGCGGTAATCCGAGCCCATACAGAGAGAAGCATTCGGCATGACCAGATGCTGCAGGAACTCGTGATGGACCTTCAACGTGTGCGGTATGGGCCTGTGTATGTTGGTGCAGGGTTCGGTCTGAGCCTTCTTCAGCAGATGTATCCATATGCAAGTTATCGCCATCTGGTGAGTGCACAGCGCCTGGGTGTAATCCGGGACCGGCAGTGGCTCCTTCTCCGGGTAGAGTAGATCGTAGAGTTTCAACACCGGCAAGAAATTCGACAGTGGATTCCGCTGAATGCTGCCGGAGATAAACTGCAGAAGGACCCACATCAGATGGTCTCTGCCCTTTCTCAATTCTCTGCCTGCCAACTTGTCGTGTATCGCCATGACAATACTTGGGAAACAGGCAAATTGGAAGAGAATAAAGTAAATAAGTTGCGAGGATAGGTGTAACCACACCCAGTGATTGGCCACCGTTCCATCCATTCCGTCTGCCGGCAGAGTCTCGTTTTCAGATCGCTCCATCGCGAGTATGACGAGTTCCACGAGCTGCTCCTCCAAGACGATGCATCGCTGTTTGTGCTGTCGTACGAATAAAAATGTATTAAAATGTGCTTTTTGATATAATTTCAATGATCCTTTTATTCCATTAATTTCTATGTTTTTTTTACGTATTCTAATTTTGTCTTACCTGTTTTTGCAATCCGAGCATCGAACAAACCATGTCTCTGCTATACGGCTGCTCTAAAACGTATCTAAGCAATTCTGTCTGAGGCTTAAGTAAATCCGGATCGTAAGGTAGATTTCCCTTCAAGGAAAACTTCAATGTGGTGGGATCCAATAACCAAGGATTGATCAGATAGTCGGCGTATCCCGTGTGCTCGACAACCGGCAACATTTTCGAGTGTCCTACTATGGATACCATTTGCGCGGTGTTTCGGAAGCTTTCGACAAAATTGGAGAGCAGCTTCGCCAGTTTCTGAAACAAGCGTATCGAAAAACGCATAAAATTGGAGACATTTTTTTCGCATTAAACGAAACGTTTTATATTTTTTATAATTTGTTTAAATATTCCAATACTTTAATGCTTACCCAATGAGGCCAATTTTTCCCGTCGGGATAAGCTTTCTGTATCTCGTTGACGATAAAATAGCCTGGCAGTAAGCACGCATTTCTGTCGAAAATATATTCGATAACATTCTCTAAAGCCTTCAGTTGCGGTTGTACTGACGCGTCCAATCGGGCTGGTATGGTTTGGGCCTTTTCTTTGCATCCCTAAACAGAAAAATACATATCTCTATAGAGATTCTTATCTTATATTGCAAGAAGTCTTATAATGGCCCGCATTGAAAGCACATTAAAAATACGAAATAAATCGTTGTAACGTTATATTACTGAGAACATACTTTCATAATCTCTCTAACTCCCTTGTAGTCGACTCCGCCGATGATACGTCTAATAAGAAGGAAACACTCGACCCAGAAATCTTCCAACTGATACTGCAGCTTGTCGCAGCTTAGAATACATTCACACACCAGTCTGTAGAAAAATTTAAAGAGAATAATTTAATTGAAATACAAAGAATCGTCAAAGAGACATGAATAAAGATAAAGCGTTTGTTTGAAGTGGCGTCTACAATGAAACTTAAGACTTAAGATTTAAGAAAATTGTTCAATCACAGTTGATTATTCATCTCACGTGAGAAGAACAATCGATTTAAGTCTCATTGTAGACGATTGTACACTTAACTCGAAATGCGTACCTAGCGGGCACAAAGTTTGACTGCACTAGATTCTCCAGTAACGTCAGCAACAATTGTAATCGTCTGTGATTCGTCATAGCCGCCGCCATCGACAGGAACTGACGAACCGCCGCTTCCTGCTGCTCCTTCGTCAATCCGGTCATAGCGGTCCTCAGCTCTTGCTGCCATGCTGCTATTTTATCAGTCTCCTTCGTAGGATGATGTACGAGAACGCAACTGAACGCCTCCTCTATCGCTTCTACTTTCTAAAATGCAAAAAATGCAAATATATGAAGGAAGTGGAACATCCTTCTCGATAAAGATTTAATTGGAAAGGAATAATTAAAGTGTGGGCTTCTCGCTGTGCGTAAGTCGCGCGGTTGGAGGAGGCCCGAAAGGATGAGAGCGTGAAACGCGAACACGAATGAAAATGAGGAAACCGACGATTGGGCAGCGCCACTTTTATTAACTTAAAATAGCTTGTTACGCATACAGTGAAAGTGGACAATCTCGGAGGCGCGCGCGAAGACTCCGTCCCGATCTACACAGAGACTTCGCGGAGAGGCGACGAGAGTCTCGGAAGCCCGCCAGATCGAGAATACGAGAAATCTCATAAACGAAAAGCAAACGGAAAAAAGGCGCTAAGCCCGCTCTCCCCCCGCGCCAGGCTGCTCGATCCACCCGGTCACGGGGGGAGAGCCTCGGGCTCAAGTATTTGCCCAAATATGGTAATTTCCGCTCGTGTCTTGGCGTAAACATGTTGTTTTGTAGCTTCCTCCCCCGTTGCCGAGGCCGGAGCGTCGGTGACACGCTTCGGCCACGAGCAACGGTGGTAATGGGGGAAGCTACAAAACAACATGTTTACGCCAAGACACGAGCGGAAATTACCATAGAAATAATTAAAGGAATAATTTAAAGGAATAATTATGAGTACAAAGAGAATAATACGCGTTACATCTAACAGCGCTGTACTCCAAAATACTCACCAAAATGTCGTTTACGATAATCGTAATCTGAGTTTCGCTGCTCATCTTGTCAATTACATTGCACGTCTAAAAACACTCGATTGTATGATAATCTGTTATTCTCTCTCCGGAACTTTTGTAGGGACGAAGTGAATCCCTCCCTCAGAGTTCAGACCTTCTCCTCGTAGTTGGCCAGATCTCGCGGGATTGACATAGCCAGTGGAGTCACAGTGTGGAGTCTTACGTGAAATACGCCAGTAAAATTACACAAAGTTAAATTGGAAAAATTGATTTGGTCGACACGGAAACCGAGTAGAGGAATAAAAAAGTCGTTGCGAGGCCCTCGTGGACCTCGCGGAATCCCTTTCGGATTATATTGTTGTCAGTTTACAAATATAACCTCTCTGGAGGTTGCCAGATCGGCAATCTACACGCTCATCGCCGGCCGCGTCCATTTTTAAGTATTGTATACCATAGTCACCATGGACCTACTAAAGAGACCAATGAGAAGCATGCTTTCCGTCCAACGCATACATACGTGCTTCTCATTGGTCTCTCTAGTTAGTAGTTCAACATCCACTTTCCAGAGGCGCTGAAACCAGCTCATCGCCCTCGCAGCTAAATCGCGCGGGAGGATTCTCGAGGATTCGATTTGTGTGCGAGCTACAGACCAAGGTGCCCGAGTGTTCTACTCAGTTCTACTTACGCTTTATTGCATCATTCGGCTAAGTTGAAAAGACTGACAAGAAAGAAGAAGAAGAAAGGGGACGTCGACGTCGACAACGACGAGAAATTTTTTTGAAGACGTTAATAGCGAGCGTTAGCGAGAAATGGTAAGTTCTCGAAACACAATGCGGTCCGATTTACACTTGCAGCGCTCGTGATCATCATTTGTCTTTATTTAATATTCGATTAACGGCAAGGATGAAAATATTCCAAAGTATTCCAAAAGCGATGGAGCGTGAATCGGACCGCAGCCTTGATGTAGTAAGCCTTAAGCGGTAAGATAAATGGACCGGTCGTAGTTGAATTTGAAGAGAATAATCGATTACGATTGTCAATTTCTTACGGCTTAAGGCTTACATCTATTTTGTTTCGGGACTAATCAAGGCGGAGAACAACGAGCTCAAAAGCAAGGTCATCGAGGATACAAAGGAGATGAAGAAGTCGCTTAAAGACGACGCGCCGCTGGGCAAGCAGAAAAAAAACACGGTAGAGAAGATCATGGAGTTGGCGAAGGCGAAGGTCGATACTGAGACTGACTTCGAGAATAAATTTGTTCAGCTTCCGACGTTCCCGTTGGATTCGGTGTCGTCCAAGTTGCTCAATGTGTTAAAGGAAAAGTACAAGGTGAGTACCTCTCGCCGAGAGCATCTCTCTCTCTTTCTCTCCCTCCCCCAATTTTAATTTTGCGGAATTGCGAATTCGTTAATTGCTCCTGCTCGATTCCAACGCGTGACGCGCTCAGTTAGAACGCACCCTTAGGCGACGCCAATGGCGGGAAACACGTGTGATTACCCATATATATTAATAATCTATATATCTATATATGATGGAAACACGTATTAATTATATTATTGAGAGATCCGTGGTACTCGGAGCCTAAGGAATCCAGAGGGGCGGAAAAAAAAACTAAAGAGACAATGACGAACGACTCGAGACAGTGTCACGCGTGTATCACGCGTGACACTGTCTCGATTTCGTCATTGTCTCTTTGGTTTTTTCCTTTTCCCTCCCCTCTGAATTCTTTAGGCTCCGAGTACCATGGGTCTCTTAAGTTGTTTTCAGAACGTCTTCGAATCGCGCTACATAATCGTATGTTCTTCTTCGCGTGCCATAGGCCTAGTTTACACTGTTAAATTAATTAATAGGAGCATCAGGTTGGCGCGGACTAAGTACTAAATTTGGTACTTAGCACGCGTATCAAGTGCTCGGTGTAAACTAGGCCATTGCTTGTCAGCACATAGGCGATCTACATATACATTACATATATGAATTTTTCGGTTAACAGCAGACTACAGATACGGAAACTGATCAAAAATTACAAAGTATACGCGAGTCTATAATATCTATTATTGCCAACGTATTCCAATTCAAACGAGACTTGGATAAATTTGACTGTGAATTATGTCTGTAAGTATGATTGAGATAAAGTTTATTTTTACGCGCGTAAAATTAATTATAAACATTAAATTTTTTATGAATTTTTACAGGCAAAATCAAATGGATGAACCATTGAGGCAGAATTTGTATAATGCTCATTTGTGTGCTTTGAATATCTATCATGAACTGTCAAAGTTACTTATATTTATGAATAAGTAAGTATTCTTATATCTTAGTTTTAACTGTGTCTCACTATAATAACAAACTTTGTCTTTACAGGAATGTATCTTCTAATGTGCCTCCGGCTGAACCGCAACCTGAGCCTGAATCTGAATGTAAAGTAGAAGCCCTGGCAAACCTAAATATTTAGGAGTTTCCCATGAACAATCGATGAGAGCCTGCAGTATTAATACCACAATATTATTTATCGGTGATATAACCATTATACAATTATTATAATATTTGGCATTATAAATTTACCAAAGTAAAAATTCGTAATTGATCAAATAGAAAAAAGTAAATTTTTTTATTTCACGAACTGGTTATCTGTTGAGATAGACGTACTAATTTAATATAGCTTATCAGGAGACGCAGTAGCGGCTCCCGCCAGATATATTTCTTCTACCTTTTACCACACCAGTGATACCAAAACTTCAACAAGAACTGCAAACAGACTAATCTATTAAATAAAGAATAATAATAATATATAGGTATTATGTATACATTAAATATGTCAACTAACAATAAGTTACAAACCTTTGACTGGCGTTACAGCACCATACAGCCTTCAATCTAAACTTCGCGAGCATCTGCGATTTCGTTTTCGATGTCATGTGGGAATGGTGCTCCACTATTGTAGCCTGGAGTGTATTGCTTGCCATGTAGAGCCTTTAATTTAAGGCTATCGCTACGATCCACTAAATGATTAACACCTAACTGATAAATTGGTACGATTTGTAAAATGGATAAATCTGAAAAAAAATTATTTACTTGAAGCAATTATTTTTAGAGTATATATAATATTTATCGCAGCGTAAATATATACCTAATATTTTGTCTAAATAAATCTTTGCGTACACATAATCCAAGTCATTTTTGTGAGTTTTTTTAAATTTATCAAATGCTTCATGCAAATAATTATCCTCATAATTATGAATGAATTCACGCATTGAGTTAAAGGTGTACACGTGATTTTCACCTGGACCTAGGAAGCTGACACACTTAGTATCTGCAAATAATTTTATTGAAATGTAATTAAAAAGCCTTTATATATCAATTAACAACACAGGAGAAATAAATATTAAGAATTTCACATACCTTCTATGATTTTAAAGACATCATCGGAAGATTTGTCGAAGGAGTACATACCAATCATATTCCAAATAATGATCACAATGTGAACCCAAAGGACTATTAAATCCTCTCATTTCAGACGTCACAGGAATAGGTTCCTTAACCTTCGGTAGATATGGCGATTTCTACAAAGATTGTTTCCTTTAAATATTGTAGATTTATTTAACAAAATATACATAAATAATTTTATTTTTACATTATACTCTAATTATTATGTTTACGTGAAGTCGAGTCTGTCGGCTGTCGAGCGTCCGAGTGATAAACTGATAAGTGATCCTGATTTGCTCATGGAAGTGGCACTTTTAGGCGACACAAGCGCCTCCAATCGGCGATTTGATCCGTTGAGTGGCAACCCTGGTTATTTCTTTACCTTCTATTACCTCCGTGATCGAGACACTCGAGATAGGCTCAAGAGCGGAGAGTGGCAACATCGTGGCTGCCGTTTTGAGAGGAAGAAGCGGGCTTTCGCGGCAGCGGGTTCCAGAATTCAGGAAATCGTTCACGACGCGGTTGAGCGCACGTCGACCGACCGATCCCGTTGACACGATCACGCGACCGTCCCGGCGATCTCCCCCCCGGTGTACGCCGATCAACCTTCGCGGAGCCGCGGCACCATGTCGGACGAGAAGAAGGTAACGCTTCTTCGCGCGCAAACCTAACCTGCAAAGCGCGCCCGATTATTTACGATCGCAATCGCGGCGTCTCTCCCGCGCGCGCGGCTTCACGCTTATAATCTCGTCCCTTTCGTTGCAGGAAACGAAGACGGAGTCGGAGCACATAAATCTGAAGGTGCTGGGCCAGGACAACGCGGTAGTTCAATTTAAAATTAAGAAACACACACCTCTACGCAAACTGATGAACGCGTACTGCGACCGTGTTGTAAGTGTTCACCTGTTCTGTTCTTTGTTTTTTTTTTTGTTTAGGTGCCTTCAACGAAGTTACGTGGCACATGTACTTGTCTTTGTCCTCCAACTCTTTAGTAATTGATGTCTTCTTTCTGTAATTCTAATCTTTCTGTAATTGATCTCTTGTAAATCGAGTTGTATGCTGGGACGAAGGTCAGAATCGAATCTGTCGAGACCTGTTGAGTACAAGTCGAATGCTCCTACATGGAGCTACGCGTCACTTCTCGTGAAATCGCATTTATTGATAGCCTTATCTATTGAGTACGGTCAATAATGTTTTCCTTGTGAAAGATATCTGTATTTTTCACAATGTATTGAAATATACCAAACTGTTTTCTAACGCAATATTTTTTTATTTCGACATTAGAAGTTTTCGCTTGGTGTTTTTCATTACTGTGCGAAAATAATTGATAATTTATTCTTGCTCTCTGTGACAAATGAATTTCTAACAAATATCATTGACGCTGCTCCACAGGGCTTGGCGATAGCAGCGGTGAGATTCAGGTTCGACGGACAGCCCATAAACGAATTAGATACACCCACCACACTGGAAATGGAAGAGGGAGACACAATAGAGGTGTATCAACAGCAGACAGGTGGTTTTTCGTGTTGAGACGCAATGCAATCGCGTTTACAAGTGGACTAAATTGAAATGAATTCACCGTTCCAGCAGTGTTTATTTCTATTTAACAGAAAGCAAGATTTAATTAGTTTTTTTTTTATCTTTGCTCTACTCTCGATTGACCGGAGACTTCGATCCACGATACATAATGCGAATACACGTGCAAATTTATTGTGCATCTAATTTAATTTAATTCGTTTTCATTGTTTCCTTGTTTTTTATTCATTGATTACGTGTTCACTGTAACATATTGTAAGAGAGAAATATATAATATGTATCTAATATATTGTTTACTGTTTGAAGGCGCGCATTGCGTTGTCGATTGAAGTCTCCGTTTGCGGAAAGGGCCGTTTACTTGTAAGATTTTAATTAACAACACGATACATTCGAGTACAATCATATATACGCCGTTTGGTGTGAAAAAAATGTTTTTTCGTTACTGCTGAAAAAGGAGACAAGCGAAACACGAGTTATGCGAAGGAATCACTTATCACATCTTCCTGCGCTGTCAGGTTCCTCTAAAACAAAAAAATCTCGAGATTCCCCGAGTGTACATGGATTTTTCACGTGAATTTAAACTTTGCGACGATTCAGATTTTTAATGCATTCTCAACTTTAGATATTCTCTTTCTATATTTGTAAAAGGGTGTACAGGTGAATGATATGTAGATTAGGGTAACATTTACATTGATGCGTGAGTAAGAAGAAAAAAGAAACTCCGCAAGGTTTCCAACTTTTCGCCCGCGAAAACCGAATTTTGTACCCCTCATTTTTCTATAATTTCAGCATTATCTTCACATTACTTTGTACATGAGCGAGAATAAATTACATGTTATCTTTTCTAAGAGAGAAAAAAAAACAACTTTATCTTCTGATACGCGGCGGCCTCGCGCCGCCTCGATCTTCACGAAGGCACGCTGGCGCAGCGTACTTAGCAGAGAGAACACACACCGGTATAGGATAATTCGTATTTTTCTTTAAGGATCATATATATGCAGTATATATTTTTGCCAGGATTCTAAATATCGCTAATGTAAAGTGTATCCCGAATACGATCCATTAATTATATTCGCTAACTGTAAGTTTTACATAAATGTAAAATACATGTATTTAAAGTGTTTGTGAAAATACGATTTAATTGGGCCGAATCACATTCCACAGCTAAACAGAGAAGTAACAGATTTCGACGATATAAATTTTTAATTTGTTAATTTTCCCAAGGATAAATATCTAATATATATATATATTCCAAGTCAATTTACCTTCTCGTAAAAATATCGGTTGGAGAACATTAAGAATAAAAATTAAGAATAAAAAAAGATGGGTTTTTAAATTATTACGATAGAGAATTTTAATTTGTTATAAACGAATTTAAACGATTTGAAATGAGCTGTTGATTCCAATTTCAAGGATTCGTAGACAAAGACCGAATGTCCGATTTTGATCAAGGCAAAACCTACTGAAGCGAGCAGTTAATTCACATTTCAAGGGTCTACAGTAATCTGCGGACAATGTCCTTGGGTATTCAAACGCGCGGTTTTACGTTTCAAAATTCGTTCGACAGGTGTCGCGGCCGCGGCGAGGAAAGGGAAACCTGACTCGGTCGACGTATCTAGTGTCGGCACACAATCGGAGCTGCCGATAAATTCCCCGAGGTCGCGTTTTTGGTGATTAGTTGGTTTCCGTTTGTTTCGCGGATGGTCGAGCATCGGCGATGATGTTATTTATGTAAACAAAACGCTTGGACCGGGTTTCGTGCGCGGCTCTCGCCGGATGCCGGGCACAACAACCGCGTGAGGGTAAGATCTCGACGCTTCTCCGCAAATTGTGGCCACGAGTGAAAAAAGCGATCCTGTTGATCATACTCTATTTCCGTGATTGACTTGTAGAACTGTCCCCACGTCTCAACAGCCAGGCAGCATTTGCACGGGCTTGCGAGAGTCGGTTATTGACTGTTGTACCTTAACGAGAGAGCGATGGGGGACTCCGACGAGGAGAGCGAGAAGGACCTGGCGTCCGGCCTGAACATCACTGGCTTCCTCTTCGGCAACATCGACGACAACGGCCAGTTGGAGGACGATATCTTGGATCCCGAAGCCAAGCAGCACCTAGCTTCGCTCGGCCGCCTCGGTCTGAGTTCGTTCATCAACGAGATGATGTCCAGTGACAGCAACACCGACGAGAAGGAGAACGGCAAGGTGGACGAGAAGAAGGATGATCAACAGGGTGCCATTGCGAACGACATGGATATGGATTACTTGGCGAAATCACCCACCGCGCTAGATTTCTCGGATATAAACGAGTTGGCAGACGATACGAATGATGAAGTCTGTTAGTATAACTGCATTGTATTTTTCTGCAGATGTCACATCTGTATACGATGAATAATTGTAAGTGTTAATATCGATAATTATAGTTGTCACGTTTGCTTTTAGCCAAGAGTAATGGATTTGATAAGAAGATAGATAAGGAGAGTGTAGATTACGACGCCGACGACGAGGAGGTTGTCAGTAAATCTGATACGCAATTAATGCCACCGCCGCCGATACCGGAGGAGAGGGAGGCATTGACTGCCGAGGAAGCTGAAGCTGCACGCCAACGTAAATTGGAGACCCCGCTCGCCTCCATGCTGCCATCCAAGTATGCCAATATCGACGTCACCGAGTTGTTTCCGGATTTCCGCGCCAACAAAGTGCTCAGATTCTCGCGACTGTTTGGTCCCGGCAAGCCGAGCAGTCTGCCGCAGATATGGAGGGGTGTTAGGAAGCGGCGCAGGAAGAAAAAGCATCACGATGTCAGAGATTCCGATTCTGGCTCGGATCAGGACGACAAGAGGCCTAGATTTAAGGTATAATTTCTTTGCGGCGGGTCTTTCTTGGATCTGTGAAATTGCCATTTGCCATTTCTAAATATAGATTGACATCGCGTTATTTGTTTCAGGGCTGGGTCAAGCAGTACGGTCCCGAGCCGAGCGCGGAAGCATGTCGCTCGGACGACGAGAACAAGCTGCTGCGACCAGTGGAAGACAAGGAGCAGACCGGTAAGACGGGCGAGAGTGGAGAGAACGGCGACATGGGACCCAAAGTGGCTGACTGGAGATTCGGACCCGCGCAATTGTGGTACGACATGCTGGAAGTGCCAGAAACTGGAGACGGGTTCAACTATGGTTTCAAGACGGTTGAAAAAGTTCGTGCTTATTTAATTGCATTTAAAAGCACTAACAAGTTAAAATTGAATAATTCTCTTTAAATATTTATATATTTTTGCATTGAAATTAGGTGGAAGAGCAAGAAGACAAATCGGAGATCAAAGACGAGGAGAACGGCGATGACGCGTTCTTGATGGTGTCTCAGTTGCATTGGGAAGACGACGTTGTCTGGAATGGGGACGACATAAAGCATAAGGTGCAATTACAAAATACAATTTTATTGATCAAAAGCAATGTTATTATCATGTGTTGGCCAGAAGTAAGAAATAAAAATTTATTTTTTTCCTTTATAGGTAATGCAGAAGTTGAATAGTAAGAATAACGCTGCCGGCTGGGTACCATCGAGCGGCAACAGAACCGCGCAAGCCTTCAGCCAGCCCGGGAAGGGTGCTCCGGTTACTGTAACACCCAACGTTAGACTGGCCACTTCGCAAATTACCACGCCGTTGCACATGCAGTCTCAGAAGAGTAAGATGAACATGGGCAAGGGAAATCAGCAGCAACAGCGAGAGGAGGATGACACCTGGTATTCAATATTTCCAGTAGAAAACGAGGAACTTGTTTACGGCTTGTGGGAGGAGGAGGTCATTTGGGATCCCGAAAGCATGAGAAAGATCCCGAAACCGAAAATCCTTACGTTGGATCCAAACGACGAGAACATAGTTCTCGGTATACCGGACGACATTGATCCAGCTCTCCTCCACAAGGACAACGGTCCGCAACCTAAGGTAAAAATCCCGCATCCGCACGTCAAGAAGAGCAAGCTGCTGCTGGGCAAAGCGGGCGTCATCAACGTCCTCGAGGAGGACACGCCACCGCCACCGCCGAAGTCACCCGACCGGGATCCGTTTAACATATCAAACGACACGTATTACATGCCCAAATCCTCGGAAACTACGTTGAGGCTGAAGGTCGGCGGCGGCAATTTGATACAACACAGCACCCCGGTGGTGGAGCTGCGCGTACCTTTCGTACAAACGCACATGGGTCCAATGCGACTGAGAAACTTTCACAGGCCGCCGTTGCGGAGGTTCAGCCACGGGCCGTTGGCTCATCCAGGACCTCACGGTGTCTTGCCGCTACTGAAGCACATCAAGAAGAAGGCTAAGCAGCGAGAGCATGAAAGAATTACTTCCGGCGGTGGCGATGTGTTCTTCATGAGAACACCCGATGACTTGACTGGACGGGACGGCGAGTTGGTGCTGGTGGAATTTTCGGAGGAGCATCCACCGCTTATGAATCAGGTCGGCATGTGTTCTAAAGTGAAGAACTATTACAAGAGACGAGCCGGCAAGGATCAGGGGCCGCAAACATATAGATACGGAGAAACGGCTTACGCTCACACCAGTCCTTTCCTGGGAATTCTTACGCCTGGTCAAAGCATCCAAGCCGTCGAGAACAACATGTATAGAGCTCCAATTTACGAGCACAAGATCCCCGAAACCGATTTCTTAGTCATAAGAACGAGGTATTTTGTCTTGATATTTAGTCACGTATAGTCTTCTTTTTTTGCTCTCTATATTATACATTTATTTTGTAACCTTTGCAGACAGCAATATTATGTTAGAGAAGTGGATGCCCTCTTTGTTGCTGGACAAGAGTGTCCGCTTTACGAAGTTCCTGGACCAAACTCGAAACGAGCGAACAACTTCGTCCGAGATTTTCTACAAGTGTTCATATATAGATTATTCTGGAAGTCACGGGATACTCCTCGACGAATTAAGATGGATGACATAAAGAAGGCTTTTCCATCTCACAGCGAGAGTAGTATAAGAAAAAGATTGAAGCTGTGCGCGGACTTCAAGAGAACCGGTGCGTAATCGATATCAAATTATTCGTTACTTTTCTCTTTGCAATAAAAACTGAAAGAAATCAAAGTAAGAATTGTATAAAAAAGGAACACTTGCAATTAGAGATGTAAATAGAAAAAAAACCAATTGTTTTTTCCCCCATAAAATACGTTTTTTTTTTTTATTTTTTTTAAGAAAAAATATAAACCTCGTTTTTTCTCAATTTTGTTTTTTTTTTATCTATCGGTTTAATATCTATATTTTGCATAATATAAGTTTATTTTTCATGATTTTTTATTTTATAGATAGTAGATTAAAATTATGATAATTTTAACCTTTACGCAGAAAGAGAAAGCCAATATTTTGATTCTGAAACATATTAAGAATTAAAAAGATTCTCCTTTTGTAAAAGTTAAATATAGACATGTTCACATTAAAATTAATTATATAATTACTATTTACAATTAATTAGTCGTGCTATCGGGATTAGAAAAAAATCCGATTTATATTTTTTCAATGAAATAAAACACGTTTTTATTCTGTTTTTTTTCTATTAGAAAAAAACTTTTTTTACTTCTCTATTTGTAATTAGGTATATTTCGTGTTTAAGCAAACCTATAAATGTTTAAATTGAAAAATTTTTTGTTTTATTCAAATAGGCATGGATTCCAACTGGTGGGTAATAAAACCGGACTTCAGATTACCAACGGAGGAGGAGATCCGCGCTATGGTGTCGCCGGAGCAGTGCTGCTCTTATTTCAGCATGATCGCGGCCGAGCAGCGCTTGAAGGATGCCGGCTATGGCGAAAAGTTCTTGTTCACTCCACAGGACGACGATGACGAGGATATGCAGCTGAAAATGGACGACGAGGTGAAAGTGGCGCCGTGGAATACGACGCGCGCCTACATCCAAGCCATGAAAGGAAAGTGTCTACTGCAATTGGCGGGTCCGGCCGATCCAACTGGCTGCGGCGAAGGCTTCTCTTATGTTAGAGTGCCGAATAAACCGACTATTAGCAAGGTTTGTTCTGGCTAGATATCTATTAAGAGTGTTATTATTCAGAATAAAATTTCGATTAGTTATAGATTAATAAATCATTATTTGAAATGTTTCGGATAGGAGGAGCAAGAGGCTCAACCGAAAAGAACTGTAACTGGGACAGACGCGGACTTGCGAAGATTGTCATTGAACAACGCGAAAGCGTTACTGCGAAAGTTCGGCGTACCCGAGGAGGAGATCAAGAAGTTGTCACGTTGGGAAGTGATCGACGTGGTGCGAACTCTGTCAACGGAAAAGGCGAAGGCCGGCGAGGAGGGCATGACGAAGTTTTCACGCGGCAATCGTTTCTCTATCGCCGAGCATCAGGAACGTTACAAGGAGGAGTGCCAGCGAATCTTCGATCTGCAGAATCGCGTGCTGTCGTCGAACGAAGTGTTAAGTACGGACGAGGGCGAGAGCTCGGAAGAGGACAGCTCGGATATCGAGGAAATGGGTAAGAACATCGAGAACATGTTGTCGAACAAAAAGACCAGCACGCAGCTGTCACTGGAGCGGGAGGAGCAGCAGCGGCACGAGCTGCGAAAGATGCTGATGGGCGAGGCGCAGGAGCAGGAGAGCAAGAAGGGCAAGGAGAGCAAAAAGAAGGACGAGGAGGAGGACAGCCCGGTTAATAACTTCAATTCGCAGCAGGGTCGCGTACTAAAGATCTACCGCACGTTCCGCAATCCGGAGGGCAAGGAGTACACGCGGGTCGAGTTAGTGAGGAAGCCCGCCGTGATCGACACGTACATCAAGATCCGTAACTCGAAGGACGAGACGTTCATCAAGCAGTTCGCAACGTTGGACGAGGCGCAGAAAGAGGAGATGAAGCGGGAGAAGCGTAGAATTCAGGAGCAGTTGCGGCGAATCAAGCGAAACCAAGAGCGGGAGCGTATGCTGGGCGGACCGCCGATAGTGAACGGCGGCAGCATCAACAACTCGAGCAACAATATTTTCGATCGCAGCAACACTAACACCCCGACTACCACTTCCTCAACTAGTATCCTTCCATTCTGTAATTTCCAATCTTCCACTTCCACCGCCCCCACACCCAAACATCCCAAGCCGGAGGTGTCACCTCCCAAGCGTAAAAAGCCTAAACTCAAGCCAGATCTTAAGCTCAAGTGCGGCGCCTGCGGCAACGTCGGCCACATGCGCACCAACAAGGCCTGTCCGCTCTACCAGAACAGCATCGCCACCGCGCCTGTCAACGTCGCGATGACCGAAGAGCAGGAGGAGGAAATTGAGAAGCAGCTGAACAGTGACGATCAGGATCTGGTTAATGTCGACGGCACCAAGGTAAAGCTGTCCTCAAAATTGATCAAGGTGAGTTGATGGATATTGGGAATTTAACACCATGCTCAATCCGTGAAATGTAAAGAAATTATAACGTATCTGGTTTATTTCAGCATGCCGAGGAGATGAAGAGGCGTACACTGTTGCTCAAAGTGCCGAAGGAAGCGGTGAATTCGAAGAAACGCAGGAAACCACCGACAGACGACCATTGCGATTATTTGAAACGCCATCAAAGGCCGGTTAACAGGCGTAGAACTGATCCAGTTGTGGTGATGTCAACGATACTGGAGAGCATTCTGAACGAAATGAGAGATCTGCCGGATGTGCAACCGTTCCTATTCCCGGTCAATGCTAAAGTAAGCGCTATTTTAACTCGTGAGATTGAGCATTAAAAAACTAATTGCGAAATAAATGAAAATTAAATTTAACTTTAGCTGTAAACTTTACATAACTATAATTTTATATACAGTATATATAACGAAAATATATCTTGAAAATCGAAGAATACTGTTTTACGAATATCGGCCTTATTTTTTATTAGGTGGTCCCCGATTATCACAAGATCATACAGCGGCCCATGGATCTGCAGACCATACGTGAAAATTTGAGGATGAAAAAATATCAAAGCAGGGAGGAGTTCCTGGCGGATGTTAATCAGATCGTGGAGAACTCGACGCTTTATAATGGAGCGAAGAGTTCATTGACTGTGGCCGCCAAGAGAATGTTGGACACGTGTGTTGAGAGGCTCGGCGAAAAGGAGGATCGTTTGATGAGGCTGGAGAAGGCCATCAATCCTCTTCTGGACGACAATGACCAAGTTGCCCTCACTTTTATCTTGGACAATGTTGTCAACAATAAGCTGAAATCCATGACAGAAGTGTGGCCGTTCATGAAGCCTGTCAATAAAAAGATGGTGAAGGATTACTACAATATTGTCAAGAGGCCGATGGACCTAGAAACGATATCTAAAAAAGTTTCTGGTAAGTTTACTAATATATTTTAAAAATACAGATTTATATGCTTGTAATTTGCTTTCTAAAATTATTATATATCTATTTCTTAAAAATTCTTCCAGCACACAAATATCACAGTCGTCACGAATTTCTTAGAGATATCGAACAGATCTTGGAGAATTGCATACTTTATAATAGCAAGGATTCTCCACTCACAAGTAAAGCAGAGTTGCTGGTTAAAGTGTGTAAAGATACATTAGAAGAGGTATACTCATTTTTGCATTAATTAGATGAAAAAAATCATTAATAACCGTTTCCATCAATGCAGATTAACTTTAATCTCGGTTCACCTTCTCTTCATTTTTTCTAATTTTAAAATTAGAAAAAGATTAAGAGTACGTTGAATTGAGATTAAAGTTAAACTACATTGGTGGAAACAGGTATAAAGAGTGGTTAAAACTAAAAGAAAATCACTGATTGCAATGATGAATCTTGTTTGTTAGTACGATGAGCATCTGACGCAACTAGAGAACAATATATTGCTCGTGCAAAAACGGGCAATGGAACAGGCGGACATAGATTCCTCGTGGCTTTGTCCGGATGAGGAAAACTACACTATCACGGAACCTGAATACAGAGGCGTAAGAATTACGTTTATTCTTATTCGCGTTTAATATTTAGCATATATTTCTTGATTATAACTTACGTCTTATTATTTCGTTATTTGATCTTCGTTTTCTCAATGCTCGACGTCATCAATTTTATCTACGTTTTATTTCAACGTTGAAATTTATCTTCAGAGCCAGACTAGTTCTCCGGAGAATCCATTTGGCAAATCAAATATGGATGACTTCGATTTTGTCGATGTAGAAGGAGACATGGAAGACATGGAGAGGAGATCGAAAAAGAAGGATGTGCTCGAAGAAGGTAGAGCGGTGTAGTTCTAACTTTATTTTTTATCCATCGCGAGCTTATTTAATAGCTCTTCTTTCTGTCACAGATCTTCAATTCTCCAGCGAAGATGAGTTCGACGAGGTGCCGTTCGGCACAGACGAGCATTCCGAGCAAAACGAAGCGGAGGCGCTGGAGTTAAGCGAGGTCAGGGAAGAAGGTGTCGTATTGGCGGACGATGACAGTCAACAGGCCGCCGAGGCGATGGTTCAATTAGGAAACGTCGGTTTTTACATGGGCGAGCAGCAGCTACTTCAGCAAGGTAAGAAGACAAAATTTCAAACGATTGATAACTGATTTTTCTCTTTGCTTGATAATTTATTTCTTTGAAAAAATTCAAATCTTACAATAATATAGATTTGAGAGAAATCTCTTAATATCTTTAACCGCGCGTAACAAACAGTTTGAGAAAATATGAAGTAATCCTTTAAAGATAAGACGATTTTTCACTGAATTTCGTTTTAAATTATCATACTTAATTGCTCGATTGATATAATTGTGTGTGACTTTCCATAAAATTCGGTTTTTTTACTCGCAGATGAGAGCATGGACGTTGATCCAAATTACGATCCATCGGACTTTCTGTTGGCCGGTTTACCAGCCAGAGACGATAAAGGCGAGAATAAGATCCAGGATGACCTGGCCGTTTCCGAAAGCGATGATGACGCCGAGAACGCCATGTCCAAGCAAGAACCACAGCAGAATCAGCAACAACTGCCGCAACCAGACGAGGACGTTGGCGGTGATTTGTGGTTTTAAATGAAAAGTTTATTTTGAAATAACGAGACTCGTGTGTTTAATCTATTTAATAATGGGTTACGTATATAGTTAAAGACTAAATGAATTCTTAAGTCTATCTTGTAAGATCCGAGGAATTTGGGAGTTACATTATGTGCATACGTGTGTATAGAGACTTGTAAATATAGAATAAAATATTGTTTTTTTTTTATCTGTGGATACGTATATTGCAAAGTTATATACTACACTTATGTAAATATCTATTATAAATGAGATATATTATTATTACTCATAAATCTTTTTAATCACGCTATCTTAGTATTAATATGTCGATAAAAAGAGGAAAAAGATAATATATTTTCGGTTGCAATTTCATCATTTTAATAATTTAATATTAAGTGTATAAAATTATGGATTGATACAACATGAATCTTTTAACATGAAATAAGCTGCAATTTCATGTTTCTATCGTAATCCTCCCAAAAAATTGAAAGTTAAATTTTAACCCGCACAAAATCTTGTAGTTTTATCACCTCATTTTTATAAATTTCAGTCTTCTACGCATTATACATTATATCATTCGCATTGTTTTTTTTTTTATTATATATCCATTTTTAATATCTCGTACTTTTTTTTTCTAGGAGCTCCGGCTTCTATATTTCTCTCAAAATCTAGCAGCTTTTTTATTATTCCTACGAATGTTTACCGATGAAGAGCTCGCACGGAAAATGGTTGATATTTCTGAGAGCTCGTTCGGTGGGTTCGGTGTCTCGTACTCCCAGGCGCAGCAGGATAAGATCCTGGATAAGATAGCGATGATCGTCAGAAACGCGACGAAGAAGCAGCTGCAGACTCGCCATCATCCTCGCACGCTCGTCACGTGCCTGCTGAGGATCCTGCTGTACTACGAGAACGTGCCGCACATGGATCGGTTTTGGGAGTGGAAGCGTCGACGAAAGTTCCGAGTCGCCCGGGATTGCTTTCACACTTTATTGGAGAGCTACCTGCCGGAGAAATCTCGGGAGGTCGTGGAGACGATCGTGGAGACCGTCTATCAAGAGCGGCTCTGGAAATTCGAGTCTTTCTGCTTCGAAGTGATGTTCAGTCTGCTGAACGCCAACCCCGTCATCACCGGGCTGATCGTTCATGCAATTTGGAATAAATTGACCGAACTGCCGGAGATCAACGCCGAGGATGCCCGCGGTATCGTCAGGATATTGTACGAGCTTCTGGACATATACGAGTGGCCGGCAACGCCGGACACGGTGGCGGCAGTGGAGAGGACGCTCGGGCTCTACCACGCCAGTATAATCGCGCAATTGACAACGATCTGCGAATCTCTCTCTTCCTCTTCCTTGGTCTTATCGTCGCCGCCACCACCGTCGCCGTCGCTGCCACTCGGCAGCCTCAAGAAGAGTCTGGAGGTCTGCATGAGAAACATCGTCAAGAATCTGTCGAACGATCAGCTGCTGGTGATCGTGCAGCACTTGTGCTCGTGGACCGTGGCCGCGGACGCGAACGACGAATTCGTCCTGGAGTTCGGTAACGTCCTGGAGTTCGCCGCCTACATACATCAGGCGGGCCTCTACGAGCAGACGCTCACGCCGACGATCTTTCCGCTGCTGATGCGAATGGTCGGCTCGCCCAGCCGGCTGACCAGCCTGCTGGGCAACCGGGTGCTGCAGTTCTTGTTGGATCGCAAGGATAACCGAGCGGTCTTCGACACGCCGAAAATCTTCTTCGAGCACACGCGCCTCGACCTGCGCATCACGCAGTGCCGCAAGGAGGATCGGCTGTTCTTCAAGCTGCATCGCGAGCTGCTGCACGACAACCTGCTGAAGAGTGTGATAAATCACTCGGACTCGCGGATGAACCTCGAGATGACGTACTGCACGATGTGCCTGATCGCCGTCGAGGTACCCTGCGGCTTCACGGCCGCTGCTCTCGTCTGTTTCGCGATGAACCTACAGGAGATCGTTCTGCAGCAGCACCAGCGGGAGGAGGACAATCGCGTGGAGATAGCTTGTCACGTGCACGCTACGATCATCTCCATCATGTCCTTAATCTGCTGGATACACAAGGCCAAGGTGTTCTACAGCTACGTGAACAAGATCGTGACGGAAAGAGCGCAGTGGGCGCCGCATCTGAATCCCCCCATCCAGTCCCAGTACAACTTCGCGCTGCACCACGTTCTCTACAAGCCGAAGTTATTCTTCATCGACTGGGAGGTGCGCTACGGTCTCTGGAAATGCTTTCGTCTCACTGACAGCCAAAACGGCGACACGTTAATTGTCTGACACAAGCTACATCCACAAATTGAATGATGTGATATCTGAAATGAATCAGGAATTCACAGATCTCTATCCCAGGTCAACTTTATTGTATCTCGAATGAAAGAAGATCCAAGAAAATAGAGATCTAAACGAGGCTGCAAACATCCGTGAGATAATCTGGGATCTGTATTTAAAAATCTCGATTAAAGAGAAAATAGAGAATTTTAACTTAATACAGAAAGAGATTATTAATAGGGTAATATATTGTTTAATGATTTTATAAATAATTATTGTTTAATTTATAAATGACAAATTAAATTTGTTATTTATATTTTATTTTCATCATATATATATATATGTATATATGATGTACAGTCGTGGACAGATCGGTTGCGACACTTTTT